GAAGTGCATTCCATGATGGAATACAGACTGTGGTCGGGCTGTCTGCTGTAAGCATGCAATCTGGAAGAGACACCGCCGCCGGCAGACGGCCGATTCTTTTCTTTTATTTCGGAAGGCGAGTGCAGTGGCTCGTAGGGCCATCTGTATGGCTAAACGGGATTGCTGGGCATCTTATGTACCCCAGGGTAGTGTTCTGAGCACTAACATTTTTTCTGGTTGCCCTCAATGGTCTTCTTTCCTCTCTTCCTTCAGGCGTCTTCTCCGCTCTTTATGTCGACGATCTTACCCTTTGCTGTCAGGGTGATGACTCGCCTCTCCTTCAACGCCGGCTTCAACTTGTGATTGGTGCCGTGTCGTCTTGGGCCACCGATCATGGCTTCAGGTTATCAACATCTAAGACTTGAGCTATGACTTTTACTCGGAAGCATATCTTTCTTCGTCCTTCTTTGTCGCTTTATGGTCACACCATTGTGTACAAGGATTCCGCTAAGCTTTTGGGGTTGATTTTTGACACTCGTTTGTCTTGGTCTCCCCATATCTCTTACCTCCGTGTTGAATGCTTTAAGGCCCTTACCCTCCTTCGGCTATTGTCCCATACTTCTTGGGGAGTGGATAGGCGCACTCACTTTACATTCCTCTCTCGTCCTGTCTAAGCTCGATTATGGTTGCCCTGCTTACTCATCTGCTTCTCCTTCTACTCTTCGCCATCTTGATGCTTTGCACCATACTGGGTTGCACCTGAGTTGTGGTGCATTTCATTCGACTCCCGTCCTCAGCTTGCATGTTGACACTGGCTTCCTGTCTCTCCAGGACCACTGTGATCGTTACTGTCTTCATTATCTTGTGCGGTCCTTGCAACATCCTTCCTCTCGCCTCTGTCATGCTTTAACTTTTGCCCCTCCTGCGGTTCCTGTTCCTCTTCACCACCTCCCTCTTTCTGTCCGGTTATCTCACTTACAGGATTCTCTTTCCTTTCATATTTCTAATATTTGTCCCTGTGTTGTTCCTTCTTTGCCCCCATGGAGAGTCCCCCTTCCATAGTTTTGAACATCCTTCACCCGAATCACTAAAGCTTTTACCCCCCCCCCTTCGGTTCTAAAACGCCTCTTCCTTGAGCACTTTTCTTCTCACTCCCGCTCCGTTTCCATTTTCACCGATGGGTCTAAGTCTGAGGATGGTGTAGGTTACTCTGTTGTTTTTCCTGATTGCACTTATATGTGTCGCTTACCTCCGGAGACTAGCATCTTCACAGTGGAACTTTATGCTATTCTCTATGCTCTTCGTTTCCTGCTTTCTCATTGTCAATCTTCCTTTGTAGTTGTTGTTGACTCTCGTAGTGCCCTCATGGCTCTCGGGTCCTTTAATCCGGTTCATCCAGTGGTTGTCGAGATCCAGCATTGGCTGTTTCTTGTTCACAGTAAATTTAAGTCGTTGGTGTCTCTTTAAGTGAGTGTGTGGATGCTGCCGCAGGGAAGCTGTCCGCTCTTGTCCCATCTCTCGTAAAGGTATTCCTTATTCCGACTTTTACCCAGTTATCCATTCCTCCATCTTTACCCGTTGGCAGGCTTGTTGGTCGTCTGTTACTGGTAACAAACTGCGTACTCTTAAGAGTTGTGTGTCCTCATGGCTGTCCTTCTACCACCGAAACCGGCGATGGAAAACGGCTCTGGCGAGGTTGCGTATTGGCCATACTCGCTTAACTCATGGTCACTTGATGGAGCGCCGCCCTGCTCCTTATTGTCCTAATTGCATTGTCCCTCTTACGGTCGTGTATATCCTTGTTGAATGTCCTGACTTCTGGGATGAGCATGTGTCTTGTTTTCCGACCGTCCCCCGCGGTCGCTTGTCCCTCGATAGTATTCTTGGTGACTTGGATACTTTTGATATCGTTCGCCTTATGCGTTTCTGTTCTCGTATTGGCATCCTTGGTGATATTTAGCGCCCTCTGATTATCCCTCACATTTGATGGTGCTACATAGCCTTCCCAGTTTGGTGCCTTCTTCTGATAATTACTTACTTACTTCCAGAGGGTATAGACTCATTCCTGTCAATGTTTGCTGATGATGCCAAAATAATGAGAAGAATCAAGGCAGATGAAGATAGAGACTACAGGACGACCTGGACAAACTGGTGGAATGGTATAGAAAATGGCTACTAAAGTTAAACTCAGGAAAGTGTAAAGTAATGAAATTAGGTGAAAGGAGCGGGAGGCTGAACACAATGTACCATCTGGGAGGTGATATCCTGCAAGAGTCAAATAGAGAGAAAGATCGGGGGGTTGATATCACACCGAACCTGTCCCCAGAGGCCCACATCAAAAGAATATCATCAGCGGCATATGCTAGATTGGCCAACATAAGATCTGCCTTTAGAAACTTGCATAAGGAATCGTTCAGGACCTTGTATACCACTTATGTAAGAACAATCCTGGAGTATGCAGCTCCAGCTTGGAGTCCATACCTAGTTAAACACAAGACAAAGTTAGAGAAGATTCAGAGGTATGCCACCAGGCTCGTCCCGGAACTGAGAAGAATAAGCTACAAGGAAAGGCTAAGGGAGCTGAATCTCACGTCCCTGGAAAACAGAAGAGTAAGGGGAGACATGATAACCACTTACAAAATTCTCGTGGGAATTGACATGGTGGACAAAGGCAAACTCTTTAGCATGGGTAGAACACGAACAAGGGGACCCCACAGACTGAGTACCCAGATGAGCCACAGGGACGTCAGAAGGAACTTTTTCAGTGCCAGAGTAGTTGACAGATGGGATGCATTAGGCAGTGATGTGGTGGAGGCTGACTAAATACACAGTTTCAAATGTAGATATGATAGAGCCCAATAGGCTCAGGAACCTGTACACCTGTTGATTGACAGTTGAGAGGCGGGACCAAAAAGACAAAGCTCAATCCCCGCAAGCACAACTAGGTGAGTACACACACACACACACACACACACACACACACACACACACACACACACACACACACACACACACACACACACACACACACACACACACACACACACACACACACACACACACACACACACACACACACACACACACACACACACACACACACACACACACACACACGCACACACACACACACACACACACACACACAAATTCATAAGTAGTCGGGGCTTCGCGGCTGAGTGGACAACGCTCTGGAGTCGTAAACCTAGTGGCCCCTGGTTCGATACCCGGCGGAGGGGAAAACAAATGAGCAGTTTCTTTCACTCTAATAAACCTGTTCACCTAGCAATAAATAGGTACCTGGGAGTTAGACAGCTGCTACGGGCTGCTTTCTGGGGGATGTGTGTGTGTGTGTGTGTATTTGAGAAAAATATATGTAGTAGATATAATAGAGGAAAAATAGATTGGCTAGAAAGGCGGGGTCCAAGAACTACTAGCTCGAGCCTGCAGGAATAAATAGTAAATACACACCATAATTGGTGCTTTGTTTGTGTATTGACAGTGACCTTGGTGGCCACACGTGCGTGCTTGTCTCCCCCACCACAACCACTGCCAACCTCTGTGGCCCCTGGTGGCCCCATGTCCATAACTCCCCTCAGATACAACCCCTCAGGCACCACGTCCCCTCAAAACCCCACAACAACCCCTCCTTCCCCCACCATCTTTTCAGCCAATCCCCTCCCGTCTTAACCCGGCACTCTCTCATGCCTGAACCTGTAGCCTTCAGAGGGCCAGCCTGCACCCCTCACAGTCCTGCATGACACACTGGCTCTAGGTCTGTGGGGTCCAGGGTAAGGGTCTGTGGGGTCCAGGGTCCTCGTCTGTGGGGTCCAGGGTAAGGGTCTGTGGGGTCCAATATAGGGATATGTGGTGTCCTGAGTAGGGACTTGTGGGTCAGCATTGTGGAAGGGGATAAAGAGCATGGTGGAAGGGTAAAGAGCATGGTGGAAGAGTCAAAAAGCATGGTGGAAGGGTTAAAGAGCATGGTGGAAGGATACAGAGCATGGTGGAAGGGTAAAGAGCATGGTGGAAGGGGTTAAAGAGCATGGTGGAAGGGGATAAAGAGCATGGTGGAAGGGTAAAGAGCATGGTGGAAGGGTAAAGAGCATGGTGGAAGGGGGTAAAGAGCATGGTGGAAGGGTAAAGAGCATGGTGGAAGGGGTTAAAGAGCATGGTGGAAGGGGATAAAGAGCATGGTGAAAGGGTAAAGAGCATGGTGGAAGGGGTTAAAGAGCATGGTGGAAGGGGATAAAGAGCATGGTGGAAGGGTAAAGAGCATGGTGGAAGGGGTTAAAGAGCATGGTGGAAGGGTTAAAGAGCATGGTGGAAGGGTAAAGAGCATGGTGGAAGGCGTTAAAGAGCATGGTGGAAGGGTAAAGAGCATGGTGGAAGGGATAAAGAGCATGGTGGAAGGGGATAAAGAGCATGGTGGAAGGCGTTAAAGAGCATGGTGGAAGGGTAAAGAGCATGGTGGAAGGGATAAAGAGCATGGTGGAAGGGGATAAAGAGTATGGTGGAAGGGGATAAAGAGCATGGTGGAAGGGGATAAAGAGCATGGTGGAAGGGGATAAAGAGCAGGGGGGAAGGGGATAAAGAGCATGGTGGAAGGGGATAAAGAGCATGGTGGAAGGGGATAAAGAGCATGGTGGAAGGGGATAAAGAGCATGGTGGAAGGGATAAAGAGCATGGTGGAAGGGGATAAAGAGCATGGTGGAAGGGGATAAAGAGCATGGTGGAAGGGGTAAAGAGCATGGTGGAAGGGGATAAAGAGCATGGTGGAAGGGGATAAAGAGCATGGTGGAAGGGTAAAGAGCATGGTGGAAGGGTAAAGAGCATGGTGGAAGGGGTTAAAGAGCATGGTGGAAGGGGATAAAGAGCATGGTGGAAGGGGATAAAGAGCATGGTGGAAGAGAGTTGTGAGCACGGTGGAAGAGCACCCCGCGTGAGAGAGAGTGTGGTAGCACGGCTTGGTGTTATTGTTCCTGCAGAGGTGCGGCCGTCTCACGTCTACTGTCCCTCAGGCAGCGCGGACGCCATCCTCGCCCTCGTCAACGCCGGCGGCAGTGTCAGCGCTGAGGACAAGGACGGCCTCACAGGTACTCCACCACTCCCATGTTGGGTTATTCCTAGTCCCTAGTTCCTTACTTGTTCTCTTAAATGGTTATCTTACCCTAAGCTTTATACTCAAGTGTTTTTAGAGACTCTTAAAGGAGAACTCTCCTGAGGACATTTTGGCTGCCACATTGGAGCACCGTACATACACACCCAGTGTTTCATAAACAATAATTTTATGCTTGTTAGGTTTTGAGAATGAAACTTGGGTTATATATACGATGTTTTATCTGGCAGACAAAATATTTAAACAACTAGCATTTGTCACACAAGTTAAATCTGTTTTGACTCATAAGGGGGATGCATATTGGTGGATGTTAGTATTGTAACTTATTTAGTTCAACTAAAGCCAAATGGTATGTAAAAAATATTTCACGTTTGTGTAAGAACATACCACTAGAAATGTACAACATCCCATAGGCCTGTATCTATAGTACAGTATGCCATAGGCCTATATCTATAGTACAGCATCCTTTAATAGTAGGCTTCCTTCAGTCTCTGGAGACTATGGAGTTTCACTCTGGTTGTCAGTCCTGGTGCAGCGTCTGGTGTGACTGATGAGGACAATCCCAGAATGGCAGTCCATCCCACACTGAGCACAAACAAAATCTGATTCTGGTCTGTTTTCCTGGCCACCGGCTTTCCTTCTCTGTCTCTTTGCCTCCGATTGCTTGGCAAGTGTTTCCTCGAACCTGGAGGGATCTTTCTGAACAGACTTCCTCCAGGCTGATCGGTCTACGGCCAGAGTTTCCCACGTAGCAAGATCGACGTCCATGGCTTTTCAGGTCCCTCTTGCACACGTCTTTGTACCGTAGCTGTGGGTTGCCTGTTGGACGTTTTTCCTGCGTCAGCTCTCCGTACAGGAGGTCCTTGGGGATCCTGCCATCACCCATTCACACTACGTGCCCGAACCAGCACATTCGTCTCTACTTCAGCATTGAGTACATGCTGGGGATTCTAGCTATGCCCAGGACGATGTTGTTTGTCACCTTCTCCTGCCAGGTGATGTGAAAGATGTGATAGAGGCAGCACATGTGGAAGTCATTCAGCTTACTTTCCTGTCAGATGCGGAGTGTCCAGGACTCACTGTCATATAAGAGAATGCTCCGGATGCAGGCTCTGTAAACCTGGATCTTTGTGTACCCAGTCAGCTTATTGTTGGCCCCCACACTCTTTGTCAGTCTGGACATGGTTGTAGATGTCTTACCGATGCTTTTGTTGAGCTCCATGTCAAGAGAGAGGACATCAGAGATTGTGGAGCCCAGGTACATGAAGTCATGGGCGACTTCTAGATTGTAGTCAGAGATGCAGATGTTAGGTGGGGAGTCCACTCCTTGTCCCATGACCTGTATTTTCTTCAGACTGATGGAGAGTCCGAAGGCCTGGCAGGTTTCACTGAAGCAGGTTATGAACTGTTGGAGGTCTTCAGCTGAGTGGGCGGTGAGTGCTGCATTGTCTGCATAAAGGAGGTCATGCAGACACCTCAACCTTTGTCTTGGCTCTCAGCCTGGTAAAGTTGAAGAGCTTTCTGTCTGACCTGGTCCAGAGGTAGATGCCTTCTTTGGCAGATCTGAAGGTGTACTGCAGCATAACTGTGAAGAAAATCCTGCACAGGGTTGGAGCCAGGACTCAGCCCTGCTTTACTCCGCTTCGGATGTTGAAGCTAGGCGTCTGATGTTGAACCGTTAAAGACCAGGTTCAGGTTCAGGTACCCTTCAGGTTCTCGTGGAAAGATCTGGTGATGCTGCTGAGGAGCCTGAGTGAACATCCGATCTTGGGGAGGATCTTGAACAGGCCATCCCTGTTGACGAGGTCGAAGGACTTCGTCAGATCTATGTAGGCTACTAAGAGTGGCTACTTCTGTTTCCTGCATTTCTCCTGCAATTGTCTGAGGAAAAAGACCATGTCGATGGTGGACCTGTTAGCTCGAAATCCGCACTGTGATTCTGGGTAGAATCTCACTGCAAGTTGTTGGAGCCTCTTCATTGTGACTCGATAAAATAGCTTTCAGACAATACTGAGGTAATTGTCACCTTTATTCTTGTACAATGTGACAATGTTGGCATCCCTCATATCTTGTGGTGCCACTTCTCTCCAGCAGAGGCAAAGGATTTCATGCAGATCCATGAGTAGGATACTTTTGCAGCACTTCAACGCCTCGGCAGGGATGCCGTCTTTTCCAGGAGTTTTGCCAAAAGCAAAGGAGTCTAGGGCCTCGCTGAGTTCTTGAGGATCGGTTCGCTGTCGAGCTCCTTTAACACCGGCAGATGCTCAATGGCGCTCAGGATGTCTTTGGTAATCACATTCTCCCTGGCGTATAGCTCGGAATACTGCTCGACCCAGCGCTTCATCTGTGGTGTCTCGTCCTGAATCACTTCGCCTGTGGCAGATTTCATGGGGTCAATTTCTTCTGGACTGAGCCAAGGGCCTGCTTGATGCCATCATACATCCCCTTTACATTTGCTTGTATGTGCTGCAGTCTGTATCTGGGAGCAGAGCTGGAGCCAATAGTTGTTGGCGCAACGCCTGGCGCTCTGCTGCACTTTATAGCAGAAGGCTCGAAGGATCTACAAGTTACGCTGACTTGGGCAGGCTTTATAGGCTGTTAAGGCATTTCTCTTCTCTTTGATGAACGGTGTCATTTCTTCCGAGTGAGCCTCGAACCACTCTGCCGACCAGCTGGTCTTCTTGCCAAAGGTAGACATGGCAGCGTTGAACACAGCGTCTCTGAAGTGCTCCAATCTTTTGCAGGTGTTGACCCCGGCCGAGCCAGAGAGAGCTTTGTCGAGTGCATGTGCAAAATCTTCCACCTTGTCCTGATTGCTGATCTTGCTGGTGTCGATGTGAGGTCTGCCCTACTTCTTTGAGGAGTAAATCTTCTTTGTTTGTATCTTGATCTTGCTACATACCAAGGAGTGGTCGATGTCACACACAGCACTCTGGTAGCTACGCGTAATCTTGACACTGGGTTTACTTGAACCCCTGGTAAGAATCAGGTCAAGCTGGTGTCAGTGCTTTGATCTGGGGCGTCTCCAAGAGACTCGGTGATGATACTTTGTGACGTAGAACATGTTGGTGACACAGAGACCGCGAAGGCAGTAGAGTTCTAGCAGACGTTGCTCGATCTCATTCATCCTCCCTATGCCAAATTGATCCTGATAAGTGGGCCAAGAGTTGTGATCGTCACCCACTCCGACGTTGAAGTCACGAAGGATGAACAGTGGCTCCTTTTCAGGGATTCTCTATTTTCAGTGGCTCTATTGAGGTCATCTTAGAATTTTTCCTTTGCCTCTGCTGGAGAGGTCAGGGTTGGTGCATAAGCACTAATTACACTAACCATTCCTGTTTGGGAGTGCAGCTGGAGAGACAAGATTTGTTTGGTTACCCCTGTCGGTGGTATGATTTGTTCCAATAGTGCATTCCTAATGGCGAATCCTACACCATGTTCTCTGGTCTCATCTGGAGGTTTTCTTGCCAGAAGAAAAAGCCCTCTCTCTCACACAGATCCTGATCCTGGGAGCCTGGTCTCTTGGAGAGCAACGATATTCATCATCAGTCTGTTCAACTCCCTATCGATAACTGCAACTCCCTATCGATGACTGCCATTCTTTGGTGTCATTGATTTCTTGCAAGTCGTCAGAGAAACCTGGTGGCATTGTCCTAACGTTCCGTGTGCCCAGCTATAGGGCAGTTGGTATTTTTCTTGCTGGATCTGGTATTGCTTGGTGCAAAGTTGTCAGTCCGCTTGTTGGTCTTCACCCTAAACCCCACGCACCCAGTAAGGTTAACGGACCGTGGCGAGGCAACACCTTACTGGCTTGGGTTTGCCCAGCTTGAGGGGAGCGGTAGCAGCCCAGTGGGGCGTGATGACCCCTCCCACCGTCAGAAGCAACCCCTGGCATAACGCTCTTCGTCAATCGACTTATAACCAGTAGACTGTCGTTTCCCGTTTGGTTCGACGCTGTGCGAGGCTGGAGTGTCCTTTCCAGGGGCTCAAAGCTTAGGTAGGTCTATATGGAGGAGGAACTGTTACCCATGCAGCAGGTACCTCCCTCGCCATGTTGCTGAAATTTTCCAATGGAAAGGCAAAAGCCAATATGCTTGGTTCCAGCACTGCTACAGAAGCTGCCAGACCGATATTGAAGTCAACGACGAACTGCCTTAGGGGCTCCAACTCTGGATATTTCCTCGAGGTTCACTCCTGAAGCCTTTCCCAAAAGTGGGTATGGCCGCAAGGCAGTGGAGGTTTGAACTCAGCGTTTTCCTTCCTCCTAGATGGGCTGCCTTCCCAGGCTGTTGAGTCCCATCTACCTGGAGCAGCTGGTTTTAAGGCGCCAGAGGCACACCTTCGCCTTTTCTCCTGTTAGTAAAAATCAGTTCCACCGGACTGCTATATACAGCGTCCTATAGACTTGTAGTTATTTAGTAAGGCATCTTATAGGCCTGTTTCCAAGTAGTTTAACAGCCTATAGGCTTGTAACTATATATTACAGCATCTCATAGGACTATATTTAAATAATAGTGCATCCTATTGCTCTGTATCCATATATCCTCACACCCATCTCCATTATTCAGCTTGCCACTGCAACATGATTCGACTGGAAACAACAGCGTATTAGACCAATATATATTACTCTTAAAAATCAATTGAGGTTATTAGGCCTAAAAAAAGACGAACAAAAATTGGTTAGTTAAGTTACATAGTCTATCTTGGTCTCATACTAGTCGGTTATTACATCTTAATTCAGCTAAATCAGGCTATATGAACAGGACACTTCAGTGTGAAGATAATGACTCATGGTCTGCAGACTATATCCACCCCAACCATCACCACAATAATCTCGTTGATCACCAGCGCACCATTCCCAGCCATCAGTGCCACCGTCACACTACATCAACTCACTATCACACCACAACCATCAACCACTACACAGAACAATCATCAACACTCTACAACCATCCAGTACCCCATCACATGAATCCGCCACCACCCTACAACCATTTACCACCACCTTACAACCAATGACCACCCCACCACACCCAGTACAACCCTCCCACTCCACTAGCGCTGCACTGTGCTGCCTCTCGTGGCCACCTGGACTGCCTGGACTGCCTCGTCAACTTCTGTGGGGCGGAGGTGGACACCCTGGACTCGAACGGGTGCACTCCGCTCTTCTACGCCGTGACCCTTGGGCACGCCGACTGCACCCAGCTGCTGCTCCACCACGGCGCCCACCCAGACAAGCAGGACCGCAAGGGCCGCACGTCAGTCTCTTAATGTTACTCTCACAATGTAGACTATACTCATGAAGAGTGGATTACTTGCGTAACATTGACTATACTCACATAACATGAACTATGCTTACATAACATGTATGCCACTATGGGGGATACTCACATAACATATCTTATATAAGCATGTGCAAAATAAGCAGGACATCACTTGTAATATATACTTATTATAATTTCTAATTTTCTTTCCTATCGTCCTTCTCTCTTTCTCCTCTTCCCATCGTCTTCTCTTCGTCTTTCTCCCATTCTCTCTTCTTCCTCCTCCTCCCATTCTATTCTCTTCCTTCTCTTGTTTTTCTTCCCATCCTTCTTCTCCTCCCATTCTCGTCTCTTCCTCCTCCTTCCACCCTTTTCTCTTTCTCCTTCTGTCATCCTATTGTGTTCCACGTCTCTGTCTCACATATTTTGTACGGTATTACCCGTCTCTTCCTCGACGTCTCCTCTACGGGCTTTCCTCTTTCCTCCTGCTCTCTCTCTTATTTTCCTTTCCGTCACATTTCTCCTGATCTTCGTCTGACATTTCCCTCCTCGCTGTCTCTCTGTGATTCTTCATCATTCACCGCTGCCTTGCCGCCCGTTGTGCCCGTGGGCAGGCCGGCCCACTGTGGGGCAGCTAAGGGCCAGCTGGAGACGCTCAAGTTGCTGCACCGGAAGGGGGCCGACCTGTGGAAGCGCAACGTCAAGGGCGACCTTCCCCTCCACGAGGCCTGCCAGTCAGGCCGTAAGGACCTTGTCTTGTGAGTATTTGACAGCCGGCTGTGTCTTGTGAGTGCCTGACAACCGGTTGTGTCTCATTTGACCATGTCGAATCAGGGTCCTGTTTGCTACGTGATATTATCCTGCTTGAGTACCTCTGACCTATGACCTTGTCTGGCATAGCCCATTCAGACCTTACCTGGCGTGACCCATGACCGTGACTGCCCTGAAGACACGTCCCACGATCCCTTGCTGGAGCTAAGACCTGCTTCATGGATGTGATAAGGTCATCTCACCTTCCTGTCCTGATCTCTTTTTTTTCGACACTCGCGCCCTTAAGACACCTTGATACTGAGCAAGCTGTTGCTACTGTCTCTGGCGTATTGTACTGACTGGTTACGATAACATCTGCACGCCTTCACAGCGGTATTGTAACTCTTAATCAACATCAACATCCACCACGATGTTGCGTTGGGTAACTCTCGCAGGTCTTATAATGCATGACTTCACTGGTATCGGACGTGTTCTCTCATCTGTATCGCAACTCTGTGTTCTCTCAGCTGGTAACGTAATTCTGGGATCTCTCAGCTGGTAACGTAACTCCGTGTTCTCTCAGCTGGTAATGTAACTCAGTGTTCTCTCACCTGGTAACGTAACTCGGTGTTCTCTCAGCTGGTAACGTAACTCAGTGTTCTCTCAGCTGGTAATGTAACTCTGTGTTCTCTCAGCTGGTAACGTAACTCAATGTTCTCTCAGCTGGTAACATAATTCTGGGCTCCCTCAGCTGGTAACATAAATATGTGTTTTCTCAGCTGGTAACATAGCTATGTGTTCTCTCAGCTGGTAACATAACAATGTGTTCTCTCAGCTAGTAACAAAACTATGTGTTCTCTCAGCTGGTAGCATAGCTATTTGTTCTCTCAGCTGGTAACATAACTATGTATTCTCTCAACTGGTAACTCAAATATATGTCTCTAAGCTTGAACATTCATATATATGTCTCTCCTAATATATAAACCTTCCAGCGACCCTAATACATTGGTGCTACCTTGGTAGTGTTCAAAAAACTATGTTTAAAACTCAGTTTTCAAGCAGAATTGACCAAAGTTGAAATGTAAGCTGAAACTACTAGGTACGACATATATATATATATATATATATATATATATATATATATATATATATATATATATATATATATATATATATATATATATATATGTCGTACCTAGTAGCCAGAACGCCCTTCTCAGCCTACTATTCAAGGCCCAATTTGCCTAATAAGCCCAGTTTTCATGAATTAATTGTTTTTCGACTCCCTAACCTACCTAACCTAACCTAACCTAACTTTTTCGGCTACCTAACCTAACCTAACCTATAAAAATAGGTTAGGTTAGGTTAGGTAGGGTTGGTTAGGTTCGGTCATATATCTACGTTAATTTTAACTCAAATAAAAGAAAATTGACCTCATACATAATGAAATGGATAGCTTTATCATTTCATAAGAAAAAAATTAGAGAAAATATATTAATTCAGGAAAACTTGGCTTATTAGGCAAATCGGGTCTTGCATAGTAGGCCGAAAAGTGCGTTCTGGCTACTAGGTACGACATATATATATATATATATATATATATATATATATATATATATGTATATACATCAATTTATATGAAGAAGTTTAGTCACCTCAACTGAAGCTTTTTCCACACAAGGGACACTCATGACGTTTTGTTTACTTGGTGAGTGTCTTTATGCTTGGAAAAAGATTCAGCTGCTGCACTACAATATTAATAAACTTACTGAAATATGAGGCGTTGCCTCTCACTATAACCGACAGACAGATTTATTGGATATATTAAAGTTACACAAGCATACAATTGGCCAATTAATAAGCTAATAACATTGAATATACTTCTCTGAATGCCGGTTGCCTGTCTGACGAATGTGCCAGACTGGATAACTCTCTTGTCGAGTTTAGGCACGATATTTTATATCACAGCTTTGCTGTAATTCATTCTGGTAGCATTGCTACGTGATTATTTCCTTAGTTACGTTTGCAGAAGGATGATAGGTGATGATGGTGGAGACAGTGTCACTTTGTGTGCTCCACTCTACACTTATATAGAAATGTTCTAGGAATTTTACCTTGTAGATATATTGTCCAGCTATTCCCCCAGTTCTAGAGAGTAATCACTGGTGATAAAGATAATTTGATAAGGTGTCCTAAGTCGATTAATGTTCGCTAAGCACCACGACACACATTCACTGTTTGTAAACACCCGTTCTGGCCTCGGGCGCCCCGTAGGTTACTCCCGAGTTTGGCTCCACCCACTTCCTAGAGCGGGTAGCTTTCAATGAATATTGATTGATTATTTTTACTGTCTAGACATATGATTGAAATAAGATGTGATTATAATATAATTAGATATAGGATTTAAAGATTATAAGTAGTACTGGATAGTACTATTGATTCTTATTAAGGATTTGATTTAATCCCTACCAGAAATCGGTTCAATTGTTCCAATAGTTTTTAATTAAGAAATCCTTCTGGAAGCTTCTGGGTCCTTGAGAGATCATGCACAAAGTCACGTAGGCACCTATAGGCCTCTATGGTGTACGTGGTCATAGGTGGCATTGTCTAGTAGGATCCAGATGTATAATGAATCTATAGTGATTCTGATATGATTTTGATATGATTTAGATATGATTTTGTTGATATAATTTAGATATGATTTTGTTGATATAGATATGATATAAAAATAATACATTTCTTAGATAATAATATAGAAGTAGTGGGTATAAATTTCCCTCACTAATTAGGCTCATAAATGGGGTCCAATAAGGACAATTTTTTATTTAAATTAAGGGGAAAGCACCAAGCCATTATGACTATATAGCAATGGAAAGAGGGTCAGGATAAGGATTTGAGGTGGGACGGGGGGGAAAGGAATGGTGCCGAACCACTTGGACGGTTGGGGATTGAACGCTGATCTGCATGAATTGAGACCGTCGCTCTACCGTCCAGCCCAAGTGGTTGGACCCAATAACGACAAGATTAAGCTTTAAAATAATATAAGCTGTCATAATAGTATACTTGGATATATCTCAGAATCATACTATGTCCCGTCAGCTGATGACGTGTGTCTGTTTCATCCTAGGAGGTAGCGTAAGGTCCCGCTTAGTGGACTGTATCGTCATTACAGTTATTATTCCAGGTGGCTACTGTCCATGAAGCCGGACACCGTCAACGCTCCCAATTTGGACGGTCGCTGCCCATTGCATATAGCGGCCATCAACAACAACATTGAGATGTGCAAGATTCTCATGGACAAGCAGGTACAGTGGTGGGGGTGTGGGAGGTACAGTGGGGGTGTGGGAGGTACAGGTACAGTGGTGGTGTGGGAGGTACAGGTACAGTGGTGGTGTGGGAGGTACAGGTACAGTGGTGGTGTGGGAGGTACAGGTACAGTGGTGGTGAGAGAGGTACAGGTACAGTGGTGGTGTGGGAGGTACAGGTACAGTGGTGGTGTGGGAGGTACAGGTACAGTGGTGGTGTGGGAGGTACAGGTACAGTGGTGGTGTGGGAGGTACAGGTACAGTGGTGGAGTGGGAGGTACAGGTACAGTGGTGGTGTGGGAGGTACAGGTACAGAGGTGGTGTGGGAGGTACAGATACAGTGATGGTGTGGGAGGTACAGGTACAGTGGTGTTGTGGAATAGTAGGGAGTGCAGTGTAAACGAGATTTTTTTTAAATATCCCGTTTACGCTGCAGGGGGTTCCAGATAAATTTTAAAATATCCCGTTTATGCTGCAGGGGGTTCCAGATAAATTTTAAAATATCCCGTTTATGCTGCAGGGGGTTCCAGATAAATTTTAAAATATCCCGTTTATGCTGCAGGGGGTTCCAGATAAATTTTAAAATATCCCGTTTATGCTGCAGGGGGTTCCAGATAAATTTTAAAATATCCCGTTTATGCTGCAGGGGGTTCCAGATAAAATTTAAAATATCCCGTTTACGCTGCAGGGGGTTCCAGATAAATTTTAAAATATCCCGTTTATGCTGCAGGGGGTTCCAGATAAATTTTAAAATATCCCGTTTATGCTGCAGGGGGTTCCAGATAAATTTTAAAATATCCCGTTTATGCTGCAGGGGGTTCCAGATAAAATTTAAAATATCCCGTTTACGCTGCAGGGGGTTCCAGATAAATTTTAAAATATCCCGTTTATGCTGCAGGGGGTTCCAGATAAATTTTAAAATATCCCGTTTATGCTGCAGGGGGTTCCAGATAAATTTTAAAATATCCCGTTTACGCTGCAGGGGGTTCCAGATCAAATTCGCGTTTACGCTGCCAGGGTTTTCTGATAATTTATCTATTCGCTTTTGTAACATCGAGTTTCCGGATAAATTTCCGGTTTAGAGTTAAAGAATTCTTATGAGAAAAATAATTTTAGAGCTCATAGAAGTTTGTTAAGAAAATGTTATAAAACGTCAGGGCAAAGTCTGCTCCCGTCTTTACTGAGAATATACTCTACCGTCATAAACAAATAGTTTACACTGTATACTTTTAAGTAGGATTCTTTAGGGTTTGGGGGGGGGGGGTAGAAATAGCCTAAGATATTCTATCCCTTTGAGATGTATTTTTTTTCTTGTCTCAATAACATACTTGTAGAACTATGAACTGAAATGAGAATATTATATATATATGTATAAATTGGATGTCTGTATGTATGGATGTACGTATGTATGTTTCAGATATATATCTTTAACAGTTTATTGAATGTACTGGAAGTCACTTACGATTTGTGACTTACGATTACTGGAAGTACTTACGATTTGCACAATATAGTTGCCCGCAGCTAGCGCAGGTAACGTCAAAATGTCCCGGTGGTGTAGGTCTGTATACAGTCCGTACTGTATACAGTACAGCCTATGTTCCTGTAAAGCGTTGCTGGACATTTGATTTGAGCACGCGGCGCAATTCGTTTCGCACAAATGCGCTCCATCGCTATTTAGATTGGCTAAACACAATGGACACACTGCCATGTTGAAGGGAGATGCAAGCAGGCTGGGAGAATTTGTGAACAGGTTGATGAATAAATGTGCAGGGCGAGCCCCTATAAATGACAGTACATCTGTCAACTATGGATACAAAATCTGGACTGTTGTACACATAAAAGATCATAATAAGAACTATGAAGTATTCCACACGGTATTCTAAGAAAGTGGAGAAGTGATATTCAACCTTACCAGTCGTGTCTTGCCTTAATGCTCAACAGCATCGCTGGTAATAATAATGAGGTCAAAATTTCAGTAAGACTACCTGGGCTTCAAATGAAGTCTAGGGAAAATAAACAAAATCACTAAACGTACCAGTTTACTGGGCATATCACATAAGGCACCGGAAATAAAGATAAGAAAACTATGTTCTCTACAGCTGATACTATTTCACATTAGCTAGCTTTACTCAAAACGCTTCAAAAATCATCATCATGCACTGTACTGCATACCCTCTGAACTAGCTGTCACTAGGCTCTATCCTAGTGCAGTGGTACACTAACTTCAAATCAAAGTCATATACAGAATGGTGGTGTCACAATAATCAGTAATGGGTGAGGAATTAATGAACAAAAATACCGCCAATTACTTAAGGTCTGCATATACCCACCACCTAATTCACACAAGAAATATCACCTACCACCTGTTAAAAAATGATGCACATCTGTAGACTGATCCATTCCCATCAATAAAGGTACATACTATATGTTACCAGGTCATCAGACCATACAAATGCCACACAAAGGAGAGTAGGACACAGCGCGGCCTCTCGTCTGAATCGTCACCCGCCGCTCCCACTGGGCGGGAGAGCCGCGAGAGACGCTTTATCCAACTCTGCAAGATACCCGTCACTTTTCCTTCAAATCTCACCAATTCAGAACATGACATTTACAAGCAATAAATCCTTAAACAAACATATAGCTAATATAATATTGTAAAATACAACTTTCACGAGAAGAACAGATCCGTAGATCATATAGAAATGTTAATATGCGAAACGCTATGCGTACTAGAGGCTTTTGTTATTGTATGTACTAGCTCTATCTATAAATCCAACATATTGTTTGTAACTAATCTTCTATGCATGTACTTTTACCTGAATAAACATTTGATTTGATTTGATTAAATATAAATATGTGTAAAGAAATCAAACAATGCGTTCATATCTACGAGACATTGCATCATTGATCTGATCAGTACGCAAGGGGGTAGGGTTAAGGGAGGATTCTAGAACTTTACCGGTCAATACATCATCATACATTAATACAAGTATCATAAACACAACCTAGCAACAAAGCTGCCTATTTGTACATGTTCTCACAGTACATGAATGTCAAGTACTAAGTACGATCAGTGCAAAATGACAAGAGGCTATTTCACTTCTCAGCTAGTAACTGTATATATCTTAATACATCAAGCATATAAATGTATACATAGTACATAGGAATATATTAAGTATGTTATATACAGTAATAAATAGAATTTAAGAATATATATATAATCATATATTTAATATACATTAGGCTAGGCTACACTGTTTTATTTCACATCATATACCAGTCATTCTTGGTGTATGTGGGGTCATAACACCAGTCCTGGACCCAAATAAACAATCCAAGGCCTAATATACGTCTTCTTAGTACAAGTTTAGTTCAAACATGTTGTATACTAGACCTAGGGATGTTTGGTTGTAACTTACTTACTCGGGCTTTTTACATAATTAATATCACCAATAGTTGCTATAAATACCATTTTTGGGTGACGGGTTGGAATTGTATCGTGCTTCGTTGTCTTGATATTTGTGATTGTAAATAATCCTTCATCTATCCTGCCTCTCCAACATGCTCTTTATTACTTTACTTATAACACAATGAGCACACTGACTCCTCCGTTGGCGTCCTGCAGGCAGCGGTCAACCCCATCATGAGGAACTCGCGGGGGCAGTTGCTGACGCCGCTGGACGCCGCCATCGCCCGCAGCAACCGTGGCTGTGCCAAGTACCTCCAGCTGCACGGTGGTGTCGCCGCCTCCAAGCTGACGGACAAGCACGCGCTACAGAAGGCCATGCAGAGGTGAGGCCCTGCAGTACCCATGCAGGCGAGGACCTGCACGGGTACTGAGGACACCAGCGGCCCACAAGTGTCTTTTACTTGAATAAACATTAAGATATGGTTGGTACAGGGGCAGAAGACTTGTCTCGTGATAGCAGACTGACAGCTCCCCCTTCCCACACCTCAAGGTGAACCTTACCCACTAGTATTCTCTGGAACACGATTCGCCGGGCGTTAACAGTCATGCAGGTCCCCAATTAATGTGAGTGAACAGGGGCCAACAGTTAAGGATTGGTGCCCAATCAATCCTCCCTTGCTAGGACTCGAACCTGGACCAAATCGCTCATGATGCACAAGACGAATGAGTTACCACTTTGCCACCAGGAACTGTGGAGAATTAATTGATGAATAGTTAGATAAAGAAAGACGAATGATTACATGAACAGATGGACCAAGACAAGCGGTTCCATGAACAGCATTACAGCAGTTAGGTGCATCTATTTCCTTTAGATAGATGGGATTTATTGACAGCAATGTTCCTCTTGGTATTTCACGTGCAGGAAGTATGAAACATGTTCAGTACTGATAACGTAGTATATTAGTCCATATAGAGGCACATTTAGACTGTACTGAGTCTGGTTTATACTATTACTTAAAGTTAGATTACTTTAGTTTTATTGTCTCGCACGCCTTTACCACTATATAATGGATAAAGTTCACGGTATAGTTCTGTTTTCCTTTACACAGGCAATAACACTCAATAGACATTAATTGTATAATACACAATCGTTCACTAGTCAGAAACAAACTGGCTAAACCAGTTTCAATTACATAACCCGTTAAGATTACTTAAACATATGTATAATAGTACGAAGTCGACACTGTGAATGCCGGTTTCACTAGCATGAATTACCCAAATATACCTGAGGCCCACTATCTTCCTGGTGGGCAGGAACAGGAAGCAGGCGGCTTGTCAAGGGTCCTCAATATTCGTGAGGATTGTTCTCCTATACTGTTACATTCTATTTTTACACTAACTCAGATCTTCATTTATATATCTTATGGAAGCCCCGCACAATACAGGGTACTCAGACAGACACACTGTACTTGAAAGCCGTCGACGGTGTGCAACAAGGGCTACACCTCACACAGTCGTCCTACAGCTCCTGGGCTCCAGCCTCCCTCCTCACCTCCGGCCACCGCTAGCTCAAGATAGTCTTAGTTATGCTGCCTCGTTTACACGCCACCTCCTCCCCCCCCCCCCCTCGCTCGTTCCAGTGCTCATTCACTAATTTTTGTAAATACATTACTTATCCTCATTATAGTCGAGGATTCATAGTTTATAGTTTATTTTTTATATCTCTTTCCCATCACTAATTTGTTGACTTTGAGTCACACCTCTCACCTCCAAAACACTGCTTTCCTGAGACTTTGTAAGGTACGTTAAATAAATGTACTGCATCTTTCCTTATGAAATGGCAGGTAATTCAAAATTAACCCACTTTAGCTTACACCGAGTCTGGATCCTCAGGTGTGGAGATGACTATATCTTTACTGTTTCCTCAGAGCCCTGGAGACGAGTGAACAGGGAAGGACAGGTGTCACCCCTGGCGAGTACACAGGAGACGAACTGATGAGCTCCTCCGCCTCCTCTGTCCTCAAGTCTAACATGTCTACCATGACGGCTTCCCCGGTCAACATCGAGGCGCAAACGGACACCGGCGACTATAAAGAAGGAAAAGAGGGAGAGAAGCTGCTCCATAAGGATGCGCAGGTGAGCAATGAGGCTCCCCTTTTTCTTAAGTAGTATTAAGGCAGTTTTTATCTGTATTTTGGAAAGATGGGCGTCCGCTTTCTCCGCTGTGTTAGATGGGCGTCCGTTTCCTCTGCTGTGGGAGATGGGCGTCCGTTTTCTCTGCTGTGGGAGATGGGCGTCCGTTTTCTCCGCTGTGGGAGATGGGCGTCCGTTTTCTCCGCTGTTGGAGATGGGCGCCTGCTTTCTCAGCTGTGGGAGATGAGCATCCGTTTTCTCTGCTGGGAATAGATGGTCACTGATTTTTTCTGCTACGACTAGATAGGTGTATGTTTTATCTGTTGTAGGAAGATGGGCATCAGTATTCTGTGTTGTGAAGAGACTATAATGCCCGTTTTCTTTATGGTTTAGAAATGTACTTCCATTTCCAGTATCAAGGTGAAACGCCTGTTTTCAGAGTAAATCCATTAAACGAGACACCCACTTCCATCCCTCCCTCAACCCGTCTAGAAAGTTATCTAGATATTTGTGATAGTCTGAAAGCATATTACGGTTCCAATAACAGTCTACTTGTATACTGGCAAGTGAATCTTTGTCCTAAACAGAGAATATTCTCAAGGTATAAATTTGTTGTATTATAAATCGATAGTTTAAAATATAAAAAGTATATGCTGAGTTCGTTTTCTTTGGAACTGTCTGAAGAATTTGGTTTTCTGTAAATGAAATTCTAGGGGCTATTAAAATAGTTTTCGAATTCCATATTTACATAACCAATCATAATGACACCTAACCTAACTTAACCTACCCAAACCTTAACCTAACTTAATCTTATCCTAACCTAACCATGGGTTGGGAGTAGATAATAGCACTTATTACATAGTGGCTTTGAAGTCATTATCTCCAGGGTACCTCCTCCCCGAGGACTGGTGGAGGTGAGGAGGTAAAGTCTCTGTTTTTCTGATGATTTTACTTCTAGCATTTTTCTTTCCTGTTTCTATTGATGAGAGCATACTTGTGTATCCCCTTCTGAGAATTATTTGGCACTAGTGTGTTGAATGTTGTCCTTATGTTTGATTGATAATTTGAGAATGAATTGACAATAAATGAATACGAACTGAAAACGAAGTAACAATAAAAATATTAATGCATATAATCGTAAAATGCATTTGCTTTATATAAACAATTTTTGATTAATTTTAATATGTTGCTTAAAGTAAAATCTTCCTAAAAGACATATTTATTTATACAAAGCAAAGAGTTTGCAGTGGCTAAGACAGATGAAGACAATTTGTTCAGTCACTCGGTCAACCAGGTTAACCCCTTTGGGTGTTTCCAGTAACTGGATGGGTAACCTGACAAACAGCTTCCCACTTGGTTGGTGAGACCTCGATAAGCCTTACAGCAGGCTTCCTGTCCCCAGACATTGTAATACCATTAAAGTGAAGCATAGTTCTGTGGATAACATGTCGCTTCTCGATGAATTATAGACGAACAAGAAGGGTGTTGTAACTTTTCAAAAAAACAAAAAGGGTGTTGTAAAGTTACAGTTTTACTGTAACTTTACTGAAGTTACAGTAAAGATAACCCTCTGGGACTACTGACGACCAACTCTGAAGTTTTCTCAAAATTAGGAGTGTAATTATGATATAATATAACAACTCTTCGTCACATTTGTCCTCTTTGTACATATTGAAGAGTGTGTTGTAACTACATTGCTTAGTGAAAGACTAACTTACAAATTGATAAAAAAGAAAGCTGACAAAAAGAAATTTTAAGGGGGGAACACAATGGCAGACTCAATTCATCCTAATCACGTCTAACCTAATTTTAGAATTAGTTGGACCTAAGTTATGTCATGTTGAGTCCAGTTTGAGCCACAGTTGACCTAGATTTTGTTGGGTTAAATTTTCCTTCCCCAATTTTCAAATTCCCATTTTTTTTTTTTTTTAAATTCGGTTATGTAACCTTTTCACATGTATTGTATTATGTGTAAATACATTCTGTTTGTTATTGTATTTTTGGGCAAGGTGGCCACTACTTTTTTTTTAAGTTCATGACTGCATGATTTGCGTGTTGTAGACTGGCAATGGTGAGAGTGTTGTGCACGCTTCGTGACCTTCTGTGTGTTGATGTGTAACAACCTTATACCACCGGTTGATACATGTTTGCTAAATTATTATTATTATTATTATTATTATTATTATTATTATTATTATTATTGTTGTTGTTGTTGTTGTTGTTCTTGCTGTTGTCAATGTTGTTGTTATTGATATTAATATTAAAGCAATATTCGACTACTGTATTTTAGGGAATTTCTCGTACGTCTAAACAACGAGGTTTAATGTTTAAAAAAATAACATCTGTGTCATTTCTTTGAAGTTATCAATAAATGTTTTATTTTTTATTTTTAAGTAAAAATTCAAGTATCAATGAATTTGATGACCTCTTTACCAATAAATAATCACATTCTAATTTAGTTTTTTGCTATTTTTAGCGTGGTAAACACAGCGGATGTGCGAATAATGTTGTACCTAAGGACGTACTGAACTTATTTTTTATTAATATATATATATATATATTGTCAATTTGAAGATCTCACAGATACTGTGTTCAAGATTCTGTAGTAAAGAATTAGAATCTAGGTTCCACAAGACACGACTAGATTATGTAAAGCAGGATTAGCTTTCATAATACAATATTAGATTATATAAGGCAGGATTAGATTTTATGATGCAGGATTAAATTATATAACATGTACAGGATTAGTTTCAAAAGTACAGTACAGTACAGTATTAGATTCAATAATACAGTTTTATATATTCAATAATGCTGCATTTGATTCAATAATGAAGTATTTGAATCAACAGTACAATATTAAATTCAATAATACAGTACTGGATTCAATAATACAGTAGTAGTTCCAACAATACAGGATTAAATTCAACAATACTGGATTAAATTATACAGTACAGCATTAGAATCTATAATATGGGATTTGATTTTATGATACAGGATTTCATTCTATGATATGGGATTTGATTCTTTAATACGCGATACGATTCTATGCTACTTCCGTCCACATGGGCTCTAGGAGACTCGAACTGTGGACCCCATGCGTGAGAGGCCGAAGCTATATCGACCGAGCTATAAATAGTCTAAATAAGGAAAGTTTCCAGAAGCAGCTTCATTTTTATTTTATGATGATTTGATTCTGTGATACAAGCTTTGTTTATGTTATAGGGGATTAGATTTTATAATGCAGGATTAGATAGGTAATTACACACATAAATCACAATGGCGTGATGCATCAAATGAACAAATCCACAAGGGCCGTGACGAGGATTCGAACCTATGTCTGGGAGCATCCCAGATGCTGCCTTAATTGACTGAGCTATGACATGGTCAAAAGAGTTGAAACCGATGTTCTACTAATTTTACTGGATCCTGCAGCCTCTCCGAGACACAAACCAGAGTTTTACACAACTCCCCCATGCACTCGAGATATGTCAATAGGCCGTTCTCCCTCTTCGCCCTTACTTTATTACACACAGAAATCACTGTGTGTACACACAGGATTTGTTCATTTGATGCATCACGCCATTGTGAGACATTATGCGTGGGTATGAGGTGCCTGACCGAGCCATCAGTACTGTGAGATGTCTGGCCGAGGCACCAAAACTGTGAGGTGTTTGACCGAGTCACCAAAACTGTGAGGTGTTTGACCAAGCCACCAGTACTGTGAGGTGTCTGACCGAGGCACCAAAACTGTGAGGTGTTTGACCAAGCCACCAGTACTGTGAGGTTCCTGACCGAGCCACCAGTACTGTGAGGTGTCTGACCGAGTCACCAAAACTGTGAGGTGTTTGACCAAGCCACCAGTACTGTGAGGTGTCTGACCGAGGCACCAGTACTGTGACGTGCCTGACCAAGCCACCAGTACTGTGAGGTGTCTGACCGAGCCACCAGTACTGTGAGGTGTCTGACCGAGCCACCAGTACTGTGAGGTGTCTGACCGAGCCACCAGTACTGTGAGGGTGCTGGGGAAGCATGTAGTGTGGACGGTCATAATGGGTCCCATACATACTGTGGGGACCATTGCTCTGCTCATCCGCGAGTGTCTAAGAAATTTCTTATTTAGTACGTAATGTGCTGCTTGTGCGTGTGTGTGTGTGCGTGGCCACCTTGCTGTGCTCAGCCAGTCTGCCGGGGTTGAGCTTCAACCCTTGGGCCTACCTCTTAACCTTCACTCAACAGGCACAATTGAATTCTATCATATCTTTTAAAGCCATGTTTGAAATCATTGTCTCTCTTATAATCTTGTTGCTTTGACTCCCTATCAGTTCAGTTTACTTTAGTTTACTTCAGTTTAATCTGAGGGTTGAGTGTGTGGTCTGCTTCTGATCCCAACCACGGCCAGAATTACATTAGTGTATACTAAGTCGATGCTTCAGAATTATTTATGTCATGATCTTGTTTCCTCTTTTCATGTGAGAAGTTGGCCATATAATGCAATGTTGCTGTTGAGGTATATTTTGAGTGCGAGACAACGCATAAGACATCCCAAGTCTTTGTCAGTCATTGTTACTGGCTATTGTTGTACCGTACTTTCTGGGGTTTTGTGTTGACACACACACACACACACACACACACACACACACACACACACACACACACACACACACACACACACACACACACACACACACACACACACACACACACACACACACACATACACGCACACACACACACACGCACACACACACACACTAGGGGCACACGCACTAGGGGACACAGGTGGAACCTGAGTGCCCAAATGAGCCACAGAGATATTAGAAAGAACTTTTTTAGTGTCAGAGTGGTTGACAAATGGAATGCATTAGGAAGTGATGTGGTGGAGGCTGACTCCATACACAGTTTCAAGTGTAGATATGATAGAGCCCAATAGGCTCAGGAACCTGTACACCTGTTGATTGATGGTTGAGAGGCGGGACCAAAGAGCCAGAGCTCAACCCCCGCAAGCACAACTATGTGAGTACAACTAGGTGAGTACACACACACACACACACATTGTGTGTGTGTGTCTCCCGCATCCCATATCAAGAGGGTAACATCAGCGGCATATGCCAGGTTGGCCAACATACGAACGGCATTCAGAAACTTGTGTAAAGAATCATTCAGAACTTTGTATACCACATATGTCAGGCCAATCCTGGAGTATGCAGCCCCAGCATGGAGTCCATATCTAGTCAAGGATAAGACTAAACTGGAAAAGGTTCAAAGGTTTGCCACCAGACTAGTACCCGAGCTGTGAGGTATGAGCTACAAGGAGAGACTACGGGAATTAAACCTCACTTCGCTGGAAGACAGAAGAGTTAGGGGGGACATGATCACCACGTTCAAGATTCTCAAGGGAATTGATAGGGTAGATAAAAACAGGCTATTTAACACAAGGGGCACACGCACAAGGGGACACAGGTGGAAACTGAGCGCCCAAATGAGCCACAGAGATATTAGAAAGAACTTTTTTTAGTGTCAGAGTGGTTGACAAATGGAATGCATTAGGTGGTGATGTGGTGGAGGCTGACTCCATACACAGTTTCAAGTGTAGATATGATAGAGCCCAATAGGCTCAGGAATCTGTACACCTGTTGATTAACCGTTGAGAGGCGAGACCAAAGAGCCAGAGCTCAACCCCCACAAACACAGCTAGGTGAGTACTACTAGGTGAGTACACACACACACACACACACACACACACACACACACACACACACACACACACACACACACACACACACACGCACAAAACCGACTCAGCGGACTGCATTTAAGGCTTCGTAATCCCCGGACTTGGGTTCGATTCTAGAAAAATTGGACAGAGCTTGTTTGATCTGATCCGTTATGTCTCCTGGTAAATAGTTACCTGTGAGTTAGTCAGCTGTGACAGCATCCTTGGGATATGTGTATGTACTCACCATATAGCTCGCGGGGTTAAGCTAGGCTCTTATACCCGCTTTCCCAACCTTCTTAGATTAAAACATTGCTTTAACATTGAAAAAGTTCTTTCTGACATCTTTGTGACTCATTTGTGTCTCTAGTTTCCATCTATGACGCCCTGTTATGCTGTTCCTAGCTTTGAAAATACTGCTATATCGACCTTGTCAATTTTCCTTAGAATCTTATATTTTGTTATCATGTCCCCCTTTCTCTCCTTAACATCCAATGTGGTAAGGTCCAGTTCTCCCAACCTTTCCTCATTGCTCAGTCCCTTCAGCTCCAGAATGAGTCTTGCATATATTTTGACCTTATCTAGTTTTTCCTTGTACTTTTTCAGGTGTAGGGTTTCATATTGGGGAATGAATATTCAAGAGTGGATCTCACCTTGGGTATGTATAGGGCGCGAAAAGCACATTTTCCAAGTTTGTGAAGGATACACGGACGTTGGCCAGTATATGTCATATGCTGCTATTTATTATCCAACTAATACGGGTTTTTGGGATCAGATTTGGGGGTTATGTCCACTCCCAGGTCTTTCTCCTCTACTGATTGAAGAATCTGTCTTCCCTTCATCTTATGCTGCTTTACTGGTCTTTGTTTTCCTTTTTCAATCTTCATAACTGTGCATTTAGATGGGTTAAATCCTAGCAGCCATTTTTCAGCCCAGTTTTGAAGTATATCCAAATCCGTTTGCAATGTATTACAATCTATCTCTGTCCTAACTCCTCTCATTAGTTTTGCATCATCTACAAACATTACTATGAAGAAACCAATTTCCTATCAGATAGTTGACACATATTAGAAACAGAATGGAGCCTATAACTGACCCTTGTGGTAAAGGTCGGTTCTAGGCCCCACTCGGAGCCTCTCTCCCCTGTGATGGCCTTGCCCTCACTGTAACCATTTGCTGCCTTCCTGACCGCTACTATCTGACCCACCTTAACACTCTTTCCGATACATCAACCTGCTTCTCTCTTGTGTGGAACAGTATCGAATACATTCTGGCCGTCGAGGAATATGCAATCTACTTATCCTTATCTCTCTCTTGTTTGAGATCTGTAATCTAATTGCAGACCTCCAGTAACTTTGTCAAGTAGGATTTTCCTTTACTAAATTCGTGGTGGTGTTTGAGACAAAATTTAACTTTCTAAATGGTTGACTAGGCTGCTTCGGATTAGTCGCTGTAGTAACTAGCAGGGGAAACTTGTTAGTGATACAGGTCTGTAATTAAATGGTTTCTATCTTCCCACTCCTCTTTCTTGTAGAGTGGCACCACATTAGCCATTTTCCAGCAGTCAGGAAGTTCTCCTGCTTCCAGCGAGGGACTACCTTACGTCTAGGGAGGCCCTAAGGTAGTCCCGAGCTACCTTAGATCAACCCGGGGACCTCTTACTCTACTCAGTATTGTACCACTTATGAACATGTTATATGGTACAAAATAAGGATTTACCTACTTTGGGAAATGGTGTTCACAGTTTCAAATCTTTGCTAGTGTTTACCGCGAAGGACCTCACACAGATCATCACTTTGTTCTCCGATGCAGCTTGTAATGTTTAGACAGATAAGAAGAGCTTCAACAAATAGATCTGCAGATCACCCAATGGCGGGAACTGCTTTCACAGTTTTAGAGAATTTAATTATGGAGACTTTCAGGACACTGCGAGTTATAGTTGTTATTTCCGTTTCCAAAGTCAGTTTATTTATGCCATTTCCTGCAGATAAATGACTCTTATAACATATTAACGGTGTGTTTAATACTTGACGAATTCGGCACCCTCGTTTTTATCATTGGTTTTTATTACTGATTACTTTTGTCCATATCAAAAAATGTTGTATGAGTATTGTTTTCCCCCCACTCTTTTCTACTATTTTGTTGTACATACTTCCCCATATGTTTCCTCTCTCAGCGAGCACAAGGACGATGCACAAGTCAAAAAACTGAAATAAAGTGTTCCCCACAACATTGAGTTTAGGGTGTGGAGGAGGGCACCTTTCCCCAGGGTTGTATTGGTGACTGACCTCATGTGACCTCTCTTGGTGGACCCGATCTTCCGGCAGACCGGGACATCCGAAGTCAACATCAGGAAGCTGGTGCTGGAGGAGGAGGCAGCGGAGCTGGCCAAGAGGCAGGCGGAGCAGAGGATAGCAGAGGAGAGGGATGAGGGAGACGAAGTGGAGGATGAGCAACAGGAAGCGGCCAAGGGCTCTGTGAAAAAAGAGGATTCACAACTGGAAGGAAGAGAAGCAGCAGACGGAGATGAGATCCAAGAGGGCAAGAACAGAAGCTCTGCGGCTGGTGGAGGGCCGGGGGACGGAGCTGAGGAGATAGAAGAGAAAGATGGAGAGAGCACAAAGGCAAGTAGAAGAGGATCGGAGAGTGCAGAAAACACAGTAGATGGTAACAACAGAGAAAATGAAGAACAGAGAAAGAAAGATAGTGCGGCGACTAAGCAGGAAGAAACTCTTCAGAATACATCCCTAAGAAGCACAAGCGAAGGAGTTGAAGAGCATGCCAAAAGTGAAGCGGGTGAGCAGGGTGCCACCATTGATGGGGGTGAGCAGGGTGCCACCATTGATGGGGGTGAGCCGGGTGCCATCATTGATGGTGGTGAGCAGGGTGCCACCATTGATGGTGGTGAGCAGGGTGCCACCATTGATAAGGGTGAGCAGGGTATTACCATTGATGGTGGTGAGCAGGGTGCTACCATTGATGGGGGTGAGCAAAGTGCCACCATTGATGGGGGTGAGCAGAGTGCCACCATTGATGGGGGTGAGCAGGGTGCCACCATTGATGGGGGTGAGCAGGGTGCTACCATTGATGGTGGTGAACAGGGTGCTACCATTGATGGGGGTGAGCAAAGTGCCACCATTGATGGGGGTGAGCAGGATGTCACCATTGATGGGGGTGAGCAGAGTGCCACCATTGATGGGGATGAGGAGGGTGCCACCATTGATGGTGGTGAGCAGCGTGCCACCATTGATGAGGGTGTGCAGAGTGCCAGTGGTGAAGAGGCTGGACAGGGTGCCAGTAGTGAAGACACCAAAGACAAAGAGGAGACCAATGAAAATGAAAATAACAAAAAGATCTCATCAAGAAAGAAGTCTAAGAAAGCACTGAATAAAAGAAGTAGAGAAGGAGAAGCAGGAAAAAACATTGTGAATGAAGAAGAAACGGAAGAGAAGCGTCCAGAAGAGGAGACAGGAGGGAAAGAGGGATGGGAAGAAGATGCCACGGGCAGCACCTCTGCCAACCATTCAGGTGCGGGCAGTGATGAAGAAGAGCTAGGAGAGCAGGAGAAAGGCAGTTCAGAGATGGACGAAGGTGTCGAAAATGGGAAGGAGAATGACGAAGGCAGCAGCAGCAAAGCTATGATAAAGTCTTCTGTCAGGAGCAAGAAAGGCGAGGGCAGCACTAAAACAAGTACGCTCAACGCGAAAGGTAAATCCAATCAGGCCACTAAAGGTAGCAAAGGAAATAGTAAGCAACAAAATAATGCAAAAAATACGAAAGGAAGCACCCGTAAAGTTGGTGTTATAAAGAGAGCAGGCAAGGGACGGACCGTGGACGGCAGCCGAGAAAAGGGAACCAGTGGGGCAGCTGGGAAGAAGACAGCCTCCAGCGATGCCTACAACCCAGGGTCCTCCACGGAAGAGGGCCAAGAAGGGAACTCCAAAAGTAGAAAGAACAAATTATTAGAAACTGGAGAAATAACAAACGACGATGATGGAGAGGATGAGGAGAGTGGAGAAGCTGAAAGTGAGAATGTGGAAAGCGATGGGAGACAGTTTGATGGTGTAGACGAAGGCGGAGACAAGGTGACAAATGAGAACTATGATAACTTTGGTGGAAGTGGCGAGGCAGGGGATGAAGGACTGGAAGGTGAGGACGAAGACGGAGAGACAGTTCAACCCCGTGTCAGGGCAGCTGGGTCACGAGTTCGTCCGAAGTCAGCTATTCGTCCAGGAATTCTCAGCACCAAGGCAGGAAGTAGAAAGGGAGGCGCTGGTAAGTCAAAACAAGTGAGCAGCAAAACTCGATCGAAGAATGAGAGTCGTGCGCAGAGAAGGAACTTGACCCGCCGTGTGAGTATCTCTGAGAACCCGCTTCGCGTGGGTGGCCAACGCGACGACACGCATGGCGAGGGCGCAGAAGGAGCTCCCATGACTGCCTTGGAGGAGCGAACTCATGAGATGATGCTGAGGACGAGCGGACGAGAATTCCTGACGGTGGATGCTGCGCCTCCTCAGCTGTCCTCGCCGAGTTCGATTCACGGCAGGGACACCGGCGACTCAGGCTACAAGGTAGAGTCGCTCCCTGTACCGTACTATCCTCCCTCCCTCACTTCTTTCTTCCAAGTCTCCCAAACCCGAAGTTATAGGACCCTTATGGAGACTTAATACCAAAAGTCCCTCTTGAACTCATTCATAAAAACAAGTTTATAATTTGTATGGCTTCATGCATGTTTTATTCACTTACAAGATCTCTCAAGCATGTTGCTATTATTTTGATTCATATTTAGATGTGTCTTATAGTTTTATTAACACACTGCTTTTGCACGTTGAAGCACCCAGTATAGAGTTTTGCTAATTCCTAGGTCTTATTTTTTTGACGAGGCATCTTTTACAGGAGTCCGGCCTCAGCGACACCCTTGGCGCCGAGCAGGACTCTGACGTCTACGACCAGACGGACCCAGAGCGCCAAACTGACGACGAGGATCCCCAGAAGACCTCCAGGAAGAAAACCAAGACGAGACGGAGGAGAAACAAACAGCGGGAGGGACATGGAGGCCCGGCTGGGGACAAGGACGAAGACTATGATGGCGTTGATGGCGAAGACGAAGAGGTGAGTGTCTCACAGATCCACAGTTCTCTCCAAATTTCCCAACATGTTCCTTCTACTTCTTGCTAGATAACAGGTTGTATTTCTCCAGGAAGAATGTCTACATCCCACTTCTTCTCCAAGACGATGAGTCCTTCTTTCCTTTTCTAAAAGTCCTGAGCGTTACAATAACCTTTAAATTTGACCAATTAGAGTATTAGAGAGCAAAATTTCCTCATATTCTATACAGTACCCCTGAAAGATACAAACTATTTATAATTGCTAAGTAGAAATATTACAAAAGAAAGTTCTACTAGTTATGTTGGAAGTTCTAAATTTTACTTGTCTACTGCTGTAGTCTCTTGTTCATCTTAAAAGTTATACAGCGCTAAATACGACTTACATGACAACTACCGGAGGCTATGTGGAGCATTCTACAAGTTACTTAGTAAGATCGACAGATTACTTATCAAGATCCAGAATTATAAGTTGGGTTGCACATTTAGCTCTGTCAGTACAGTGGAGAGCCCTTGCTGAGGTACCAACCAAAACTCTTGGGAATGCCTCTGTAGTTTGACAGTGATCACCTCTCAGGCACAAGGTTCACAGAGGAAGAAATGTCATGACAGAAGGTTCTTAACTAAAGTTGAAATGCCAAAAATGCCAAAAATTCCTACCATAATAGTACTTATAGCAAGTTCCAAGTAACACGGGCTATGGTGAGCCCGTAGATAGTTTGTTCCCTCTCAACTGACCTTGCATAATGGTCACCGAAGAATCCTTTGGCCATTTCAAACTAGTACCCACTTTTGAAAAATGCAGGAAAAATAATTCGGGGTTCTTCTCATCAAACTAGGGTAACTAACCCCTCTACGGAAATGAAGGTCACTACTTTGACTGCTACTTGTACTTCCCTTTGAACCCTTACTACCAACAGCGGCTGTAGCTTCTAGCTTTATCTCATGAAGCCTAATCTGTGCCTCAGCCATCTGGTGTTTAATTCTAACTGTCTCTACCTAAACTTACCACCTAAGTAGAGTAAATGCGAATTATATGTGTTAGGCTACAGTGCTATAATTCTCTGGAGGTATAACTAAGCATATAATAACTTAAAAGAGATTCACACCATGGTAAGTTTCTCCTTGCAGTTCTAAGTCTACAGAACACTGACCCAGAAATTTTGAAAAGAACGATACAGACGCCATAGAAACTGCCAAATTGTCAGGATAAACGAGTAACCCACTCTGCTTGATAATATTCTTATGAATAAGGTTCTCAGAGCTACCAGTGTCAATCAGTGCACTGACTGAAATACCATTGATCTTAGAGCTAAGCACTGATTTACTGAGGCATGAGGGTGAAGTCCCAGCTAAAGTAGCAAGCATAACAGCTGAATGTTGGGTGTTTGAAGCACTGTTAGTCTGTTTCAGAGATAGGCAGACCTTAGCATAATGACCCTTTTTCTTGCAATTCATACACAGAGCCTCTCTAGCTGGACATCGACTGTGATGATGTCGAGTCTAACCACAAAAGAAGCATCTTAAACCACTAGTTGTAGCAGCAGAAAATGTTGCAACTTTTTGTTCTACACTTTCTTGTCCTCCGGGTCAAATAATAGTGTCATGGCGACGTTTGTAGCCACTGACTTAACAAAAGAGGTAGGAAGTTTCTGTGCTGTTTCTAGAGTGTTAGCCTGGTCAAATGCTGATTGTAAGTCTAATGTTTGATTTTCAAGTAAGCACTGCCTTATTGTGGCAGAACCTAGCCCATTAATGAAAGCATTTCTCACATAGTTATCACAAGCTTATACAACAATCACTGCTTTGAACTGACAATTTTTAGCAAATAATTTCAATGCCTGAAGAAACTAGTCAACCGACTCACTGGGTTCTTGGCATCGTGTTGCAAGTACATACCTTGTGAATACTTCATTCTTGGGCTTCACAAACAGTTCTGTTAGGGATTTTTAGCCGCGCCATACGTAGTGCAGTCAGCTATGTAGTCGAACACACGTGGAGCAACGTAGTTTATTGAGAGGCCCAGCCAGCCCACGGTGGGAGTAGTTTGATGTACTGCTAGATAGAAGTTTCTGAACGTCTTGAGCCAGTGATATTCTTGAGAGGCGGTGGTGGAATTTGGGTCAGTAGCACACCGCTCAGGCCGTAGGGACCGCTCCATGTTTACTGGCTGAATTATTTGATGAATAAATTGAGGTAAAGAAAGGCATTGCCAGACTTGGGGTTTTATTGATCAAATAATTACAGAACAGTTACTTTCTGCAATAAAACAAACCATATAATTTACAATACATATATACAGTTTAAGCACTGTCTAATCACTATAACAATAAGCAAACTGCATATGACTAAGGTTAGGACAAGTAGAAATTAAGCTAGAAGTTAACATTCTACCAACCTGTATACAAGCACAACACAGCTGACCTGATGATCCAAACGATAACAGTCAAGCGAGTATCCATCCGGTACAATAAAAGCTCTGCCCCCAATACAATAGATATGGGACTTTTACTACAGAAGTCATCAAGGTGTCTTCTACAAATGATACCGGAACATTCACTTCGAAAGGCACAACAAACTAGAAAATAAGTATGGATCAGTCTAACCGTGGCATACACAATATTAATCCTGAACACTAGAATTTCAACAATAATGGTCCTGAACAACAGGAGTTACCTGTACTGACCGAGCTCCTAGACAGTCCCCCCCCCCCTTTTACATTGTCATGACCTCATGCTCCACAGCATCACTGGACTCCATAACCTGGCCTAAATCAATATATGTCTAGGGTTAAGTAAAAGGCTAGCAAAAACTACTCCAGTTTACTTGGGCATATAACATAGGTTACCGTAAAACAATAAGAAAACTACAGATCTCTATAACTTATACTTTGTCACATTATCCACCTTAAAGCTCCTCAAAATTATCAACTGGCCTTAAACTGCACACCCTTGGGACTAGCTGACACCAGGCTTTATCCTGGTGCAGTGGTACACTAGCACCTAGTATGCTGATAACACAATTACAGGATGGTGGTGTCACACTCATTAATTAGTGAGGTTGAGGGATCAATATCATATCAAAGCACAATGGCATCACTTAAGATCCTCAGGTACCCACCTCAATATGTATACTTAAAATCACCTCCAATATGGCATAAATGATATACATCGGTAGAACACACAAAAGGCCACTTAGAGCAAGAGCCGGACGGACGTCCGCCCGTCTGAGAAATCAAAGATATAGTGACCCCTCAGGGCCGGCGGGCCACTTGACACATTATTTCCAACTCGGCAAGTCAACCGACGCTTATCCTTCAAATCTCACAAGCTTATATCAAATCATTTATCAATCAATAACTCTTAAATCATACAGTACGGAATAAGTATTTAAATATAGTCTTACATGAGAATACAATCATTGAATCAATACATAAGAGACTACATCATGATGTAATAAAATAATCAAATCAACAGAGAATTCATATCTATAGGACATGGTGACACTGACGGAGACGGTAAGCCACGGGGGGATGGGGGTAGGGGTTAAGGGAGAATTTCAAGTCGTTACCGGTCAGCCGCTAATACATAAGTATACATGAATAGAAGTTAGCATCATATACCAACATAATTACCAAAACCTTGCTTCTGTGGTAAAATCTCACAGTACCAGAATATCAGTTAATTAATTAACAACATGGCAAGAGCTAATGCACTGAACAGTAATGAAATTGATATATATCACAATATACATGCTAGTCATACGTCAGATACCTAAATGTATACATTCTACATCTTAATTTACATAACATATCATGTACAACAATACATAGAATTTCATACTATAGTCATAATGGTATTTTGCAAGATACAGGACATTAGGCTTCTGCTATTTTTGATACTTCATATATCTCCACAAATACATGGCACATACTTTTGGTAAGGATACATAATATGTATAGGTATATTAAACATACAATGGCAATGCGTAATATATACTAGAGTATTGTCAAAAAGAAATTATACAGATATAATAATATTTGTGATGCTAGGCTAATCGGCCTGGATATCACTATACAGTATAAACTCATCATACACCTGACACATCATGACCATACCATGATCACAGGCATACTGTGATCATGAATCATACTGTGATTCATGATCACAGTATGTGTGGTCATAACATTTACGAAGACTTTTGATGGAGCAGAACTGTGCCTACAAAGACTGTTGGTGGAGTAGAACTGTGACTATTGAGACTGCTGATGGAGGAGAAACATGACTATTGAGACTGCTGATGGAGGAGAAACATGACTATCGAGACTGTTTACAAAGACGAACTGTGACAACATAGGGAGGGTTCCTTTGTGGGACACTGAACAAATTGTGTTTGAAGGAAGTGTTGCCCCTGGTGAGGTTCTGAATGTTTTCTTTTGTCGCTCAGAAAACGAACTTCATGAAGTCTTCTTTTGGTAGCAGATTTAACCACAAGTGTATCGGTTCACAGACACCTTTCTCTTACATATTTGATAGATAGACATTTGCAAGGCGTTACTTTTCATAATAGTTTGCATTTGTAACATTGGTCCCTCTTTAACGTAATATTGCGACCTATTAGTAGTGACGAAAGTTTATACCGAATACGTGTACTGAAGGGAATACACTGCCAATATTAAGACGAGTGAAGAAGCAATGGGGTTCTTTTAAAGGTATACTGAGAACATTGACATTATTTTTGTAATATGGGTCTTTGAGACGAGACAGATCCAGTGGTCTCAGCTTCCGTGTGTTGGCTATAAGTTATACATGTGAATCATTTCTGTAATGCGTATCATTTTCTTTAGGACAACAGACGACTCCGCAGAAGACGCGACGCCAAAAATTGGCAGGAGGACACCGGAGGAGGAAGAGGTGGAGACAAAGGGAGAGAAAGCGGGAAAGGAAGTGCTCGAGGAGGAATCGACGACGATATTCCTGCCACCACAGAAGGAGACGACTACGACGACGCTGACGAGGACGCCCTGGACAAGCTTGGGGTGCCGACCCACAGGCGTCCCGGGGTCAGAAGGGGTCAGGTCAGCAGCGGGGCACTCAGCGGAGGACCCAAGAAGGTGAGACACAAAAACATACTAAAAGGTTAAGAAAATAGCTTGATATTTTTATGATATATAAACAACATTTGATTGATTACTTCTGTATTGTTTGATTATATGACAACAATCAATCTACTTTTGATTGATAAATGTTACAAAAATAGACAACAGCTCTTGGGGTTTCTGCCAATAGAGTTTAAGATGTTAGTTGTGCTCTTCAAGCATCGTAGGAGTGCGTCTTATTATGATAGACTGCAGACGCATTGTCTTCCAATCAGGGCGAGTGTACCCCGTAGACTTGCGTCATGACCTTTAGGAAAACATTTGTATAATTTAACCCTAACAACAGATAGGTGCAGCAAGTGTGAAGGTAATCATCAGGAGTAAGCTCTAAGCCATTGCGACTATATATCTAAACTACTTAGAAGGGATGTGAGAATAAGAGGCAGGAGTGGGACTGAGCGGTGACCAAGAAGGAGCGGAGGTCGTCATCCTACCGTCCAGTCCCAGGGCTGGAGTGCAGTCTCAAGTACACATAAAGCTTCTATATTATGGAAGAGAGAATACATTACGGAATGTAAACAATCGTAGCAGTATAACCGGTGATGTGATGAATACAGAAGATGGTCACAGTGTGAATTGTTGACTCGCCTATTTGTTCCTGTAGGAGCTAGATGCCTCTAGGATTCCGCCGTTCCAGCCGTTGGTTGTTTAATGCAATGAATCCTGACTTTATTTTCTATTATATTTACGTTTGTAATTGTGAATGAAGTTTGTTTCTTCAATCTGCTCGTTTGGCTCGTTCTTTTACATACTTCTTTCATGCTAAATAAATATTAGCATCTCTATGTATCATCTGTTCTAGTGGTAATGATTGTGATAATTTCACCTTTTTCGCTGTGTCAATCCCTCTGTGTGCCAGAGCCTTCATGTGATCAGTTGACCTGATCTCCCCTGTATCGTTGAGCGAACAAGTTCCAGATGGATGCGAGTATGCCTAGGAGTATGTGAATTGATGATATCATTGAGAGAAATGGTCTCCTCTCTCTCTCTCTCTCTCTCTCTCTCTCTCTCTCTCTCTCTCTCTCTCTCTCTCTCTCTCTCTCTCTCTCTCTCTCTCTCTCTCTCTCTCTCTCTCTCTCTCTCTCTCTCTCTCTCTCTCTCTCTCTCTCTCTCTCTCTCTCTCTCTCTCTCTCTCTCTCTCTCTCTCTCTCTCTCTCTCTCTCTCTCTCTCTCTCTCTCTCTTCTCTCTCTCTCTCTCTCTCTCTCTCTCTCTCTCTCTCTCTCTCTCTCTCTCTCTCTCTCTCTCTCTCTCTCTCTCTCTCTCTCTCTCTCTCTCTCTCTCTCTCTCTCTCTCTCTCTCTCGCTCTCTCTCTCGCTCTCTCTCTCTCTCTCTCTCTCTCTCTCTCTCTCTCTCTCTCTCTCTCTCTCTCTCTCTCTCTCTCTCTCTCTCTCTTAGGTTAGGTTTTCTCCAATATCCAATCCCTCTTAATACTGGGAGGATCCTCATTGAAAACTATTCTACCTGTTCAAATTTCCTTGTGTCCCTTATGAAATGTCGAAGATGAAATGTTGATCTGAATTCCTGATTGATTTCCTTGAAGGAAAAAATTATTCTACTGTTTCTGTGGCTCATTTGGGTACTAAGTTTCCATCTGTGTCCCCATCTCCGTGTTTCACCCATGCAAACACTTTGTGTTTATTTACAATGTCAATTTCTCTGAGAATTTGGCTGGTGGTGATCATGTCTCTCCTAACTCTTCTCTTCTGTTTTCCAGGACGTGAGGTCAAGTTCCAGTTGCCTTTCCTCGTAACTCATATTTCTCATCTCTGGGTCTGGTCTAGTGGCATGCGTCTGAGTCTTTTCTTACTTTGTCTTGTGTTTATTTAGTTTTGGACTCCTGGCTGGAGCTGCATACTCCAGGATTAGTCTGACATGAGTAGTATACAAGGTTCTGAATGATTCCTTTCACAAGTTTCTAAAGGCAGTTCTAATGTTGGCCAATCTTACATATGTCACTGATGATATTTTTTTGATGTGGGCTTTTGGGGACAGATCCGGCGATACATCAACCTCTAGATCTTTTTCGCTACCTGATTCTTGAGGGTTTTCACCTTCCAGATGGTACCTTGTGACTTCCTGTTCCCGTCACCTATTTTCATATTTTACACTTACTTGAGTTAAACTTAGTAGCCATTTGCTGGACCATTCTTTCAGTTTGTCCAGGTCGTTTTGTAGTTTTATCATTTCTTTATCTCATTTTATCTCTCTTCATCCTTCTCATAATTTCAGCATCAGCAAACAATGTACTCACCTAGTTGTGCTTGCGGGGGTTGAACTCTGGCTCTTTGTGCCCGCCTCTCAACCGTCAATCAACTGGTGTACAGATTCCTGAGCCTACTGGGCTCTATCATATCTACATTTGAAACTGTGTATGGAGTCAGCCTCCACTACATCACTGCCTAATGCATTCAATTTACTAACTACTCTGACACCCTACCCGTGTAAGGTGTGAGAGTGTGTGTGAAGGCTTTAATATATATGTATATAAGTTGTATGATAATTACACAATAAATGCCTCACCTCAGGTGGAGAACATGGAGTCTAACCTGAGACGACGAGCGAGGAAAGCGGCCTCTCCCTCCACCGAAGTCTCCATCACCCAGGCTATGCAGAACGCCATGCGCAAGTACGTATGAGAGAGACAGACAGACAGATAGAGAGATATATTTTTGTGTGTGGATTTCTGCTTGTGTTGTGTAGTGTTTACTCATTAAATACTGCGATATAAATATTATTTGAGGATTTCTGCCCAGCAACACAAAATTTGACCGGATGCTTTATAAAATTACAATCTTGGTACATTGTATTCTGATACAAGTTGGTACCTAAATGTTTAATTAACATTACTACTACTCCTGAGAAATTTATGTTGCAGCTTTAAAATACAATATACTGTAACACGTGATATACCAACCCGTCCTCTGATTTGTAACGTTGTAACCAACATTAAAAATGTAATCTACTGTACTTTGACAATTAATGCCGGTCAAATATATTCCTATGTTCATACATCGTACTCGATAGGTTAGGAGGTTGCTTGGGTTAATGCGTTTCTGATTAGTTAGGAGGTTAGATTTTTTTACGGAGTGGCAACTGGTAGGAAATTATGAAAAATAATGTGTTAAGTGAGTATGATTGTATAGCTCTTAGAAGGAGCATGAGGACAAAGATGAGGGATATGAGGATGGTGTGGAGGAACAGTGGCCTCATAGTTATCCTGCACCTGGTACAGGTACGCGCTGGAGAGGCGGCTGTTCCAGCAGCTGCTGGAGCTCAAGCGCATCCAGATTCGGAACACTCGCGCCAACGAACATGTGATGATCAAGCGGATGGTGGACGCCTTCCAGAAGGAGGGCCACCTGCTGGGCATCCGCGGCTACGGTGGACCCTACAACTTCAACAGTTACGAGAAGTACCTCTACGGTGAGTGTCTCTACAGCCTCATGCCTCCATCTACATCACCTCTAACTTATTACAATTATTTGCAATGATTTCCTGGGAAGCATTTGTTGATGTGCTGATCTAGGGTAATGGTGGATAATGAGACCCATTTAACATATAACTAACATAAATTAGGTTAAACTCAATATACAAGATGTCCAACCACTTGGCCTCGACGGTAGAGCAACTGTCTCGCGTCATGCAGGTCGGCGTTCAATCCCCGAACGTCCAAGTGGTTGGGCACCATTCCTTTCCCTTGTCCCAGCCCAAATCCTTATCCAGCTCCCTTCCAAGTGTTATATAGTCGTAATGGCTTGATGATTTCCCCTGATAGTTCCCTCCCCTTCAACGTACAAGTTAATATAGTTCATGGTAATAATTTATAATCCCGGAGCTGAAGGCCCAAAACCGTATGTAGTTTGCAGCACTTGGGCATGAAAATAGTGCACATTATACAGCCCCTCACATGTGGATATACATCCTCTGACTACCCTGCAGCTTGTCTAGACTCATTGCCCTTCCTCTTACCCTGCAGCTTATGTAGACTCATTGTCCTTCCTCTTACCCTGCAGCTTGTGTAAACACATTGTCCTTCCTCTTACCCTGCAGCTTGTGTAAACTCATTGTTCTTCCTCTTACCCTGCAGCTTGTGTAGACTCATTGTCCTTCCTCTTACCCTGCAGCTTGTCTAGACTCATTGCCCTTCCTCTTACCCTGCAGCTTGTCTAGACTCATTGCCCTTCCTCTTACACTGCAGCTTGTGTAAACTCATTGTCCTTCCTCTTACCCTGCAGCTTGTGTAAACACATTGTCCTTCCTCTTACCCTACAGCTTGTGTAAACACATTGTCCTTCCTCTTACCCTGCAGCTTGTGTAAACTCATTGTTCTTCCTCTTACCCTGCAGCTTGTGTAAACACATTGTCCTTCCTCTTACCCTGCAGCTTGTGTAAACACATTGTCCTTCCTCTTACACTGCAGCTTGTCTAGACTCATTGCCCTTCCTCTTACACTGCAGCTTGTCTAGACTCATTGCCCTTCCTCTTACCCTGCAGCTTGTGTAGACTCATTGCCCTTCCTCTTACCCTGCAGCTTGTGTAAACTCATTGCCCTTCCTCTTACCCTGCAGCTTGTGTAAACACATTGTCCTTCCTCTTACCCTGCAGCTTGTCTAGACTCATTGCCCTTCCTCTTACACTGCAGCTTGTGTAGACTCATTGTCCTTCCTCTTACCCTGCAGCTTGTGTAAACACATTGTCCTTCCTCTTACCCTGCAGCTTGTGTAAACACATTGTCCTTCCTCTTACCCTGCAGCTTGTGTAAACACATTGTCCTTCCTCTTACCCTGCAGCTTGTGTAAACACATTGTCCTTCCTCTTACCCTGCAGCTTGTGTAAACTCATTGTTCTTCCTCTTACCCTGCAGCTTGTGTAAACACACTGTTCTTCCTCTTACCCTGCAGACCAGCTGAGGTACCTACAGAGCTCTCAAAGCACCAAGATCCCGGCCTTCCGACCCACGGACGACGTCGACAGGCTAAGTCGGGCCATCCGGCGTGCAGAGTTACGTGAGTTACCGGAGCCCCTCATGACTTCTCGAGACGCCAGCGTCTGTAATCATACCACGCACCGCTGCCACCACGCCGCCCACGCCTACACCGGCGTACCCTGCGCCGCCTACAGTGAGCACTTACTGCCGCTTGCTGCGCCACTTGCAGTAGTGTTGTAGTGAACATGTGTCAAGGTCAGAGGGCCCCCTGGTCGTTGTAGTGAACATGTGTCAAGACCAGTGGGCCCCTAGGCGCTGTAGTGAACATGTGTCAACGCCAGAGGGCCCCTAGGCGCTGTAGTGAACATGTGTCGAGGCCAGAGGGACCCTGGTCGCTGTAGTGAACATGTGTCGAGGTCAGAGGGACCCTAAGCGCTGTATTGAGCATATGTCGAGGCTAGAGGGCCCCCTAGGTGCTGTAGTGAAAATGTGTGTGACAAGGCCGGAGGGCCCCAAGGCGCTGTAGTGAACATGTGTTGAGGCCAGAGGGCCCTTAGACGATGTAGTGAACATGTGTCGAGGCTTAGGGCGCCTGACAGCTGAGTGGATACTGCTTCGGATTCGTAGTCCTGAGGTTCCGGGTTCGATTCCCGGTGGAGGTGGAGACTAATGGGCAAAATGTTTCTTTCACTCTGATACCCCTGTTATTTAGCAGTAACTAAGGTACCTGGGAGTTAGACAGCTGCTACGGGCTGCTTCCTGGGGAGGGGGTGTAACAAAAAGGAAGCCTAGTCGAGAACTGGGCCACGGGGACGCTAAGCCCCGAAATCATCTCAAGATAACCTCAAGATGATAACCCCCTAGGTGCTGTAGTGAACATGTGTCGAGGCCAGAGGGGCCCCTAGGCGTTGTAGTGAACATGTGTCGAAGCCAGAGGGCCCCTAAGCACTGTAGTGAACATGTGTCGAGGCTAGAGGGCCCCTAGGCGCTGTAGTGAACATGTACTGAGGCCAGAGGGCCCCTAGGCGCTGTAGTGAACATGTACTGAGGCCAGAGGGCCCCCTAGGTGCTGTAGTGAACATGTGTGTGTCAAGGCCAGAGAGCCCCTAGGCGTTGTAGTGAACATGTGTCAAAGCCAGAGGGTCCCAAGGCGTTGTAGTGAACATGTGTCAAGGCCAGAGGGCCCCTAGGCGCTGTAGTGAACATGTGTGTGTGTCGAGGCCAGAGGACCCCTAAGCGCTGTAGTGAACATGTGTCGAGGCCAGAGGGCCCCTAGGCGCTGTAGTGAACGTGTGTCGAGGCCAGAAGGCCCCCTAGGTGCAGTAGTGAATGGTGAATGGAGGAGGAGAATAGAGACAACTGTGACGACCAGTGAAGAGGACTACGCTGTAGCGAAGATAGGTGAAGGGGACTGGACACCGTAGTAAAGATGAGTGGCGGAGAGGACTGGACACTGTCCTAAACTCATCTTTACTACGGTGTCCAGTCCCTTCCACTCATCTTTACAATAGTGTTCAGTCCCCTTCACGTATCTTCGCTATAGTCCTCTTCACTGATCGTCACTATACTGCGTATATTATCCACCTATGACTGGAAACCATAGTAAAGATGAGTGGTAGGGGTCTAGGCAGCTTGTGGTAATTATTTATTTATATTAGTACCTCTAGGAATCTACGTCTTTAAGGATCAACGAATTGTTTTCGTATATATATATATATATATATATATATATATATATATATATATATATATATATATATATATATATATATATATATATATATTTATATATATTTATATATATATTTATATATATATATATATTTATATATATATATCTTTCCCTTTGCCCCTTCCTCATCACTATAATCCGTAGTTCACTACATTGTTACCTGTTGTAAGACTCGCTTGGTGACGAGAGTCTTATGAATGTTACCTAGAGTTAAGCTGATTGATATTAGCTCTCGCAGTCCCTTGATCGGCTGTGTTTCTCACTTCCTGGTTAGTGGCTCTAAAGCTCTACATGACAGACAGCTTGTGCTTGTGCTTTCATCTCTCTCCATCCGCGGTAATGTTGTCTTAATTGATCTGACAGACCCCATCTCCTTATTAGTATTTGTTCACTTCACGGACTTTGGCTGTGATGTTTATTTTATTATTTGTGATCGTTCTGTATTTTATTTTATACTTGATGCTCTGTTTTCTCTGTAATTTTCTTTCCTCAAAGATTCAATATACCTTTATTCTTTCTTGGATGCTTTAACTATCATATTTTTCATTCTTTAATGTCATCTTTGTGACTTACTTGCCTCTTCCGCCCTGACAGTTGGGTACCGAGGGAGGAAGAGGGCTCCTGTCACCAGCACCAACACTAAGCAGGTGTCGTTGCCCAGGATTGCTGGCACCTCCAACACCAGCAGCGGCGGCGGCGGCACCTTGGCGGGCTCTCCACGACCCGCTCACGACACCGTCCAGACCTGGAGCAAGCCGGGAGAACCCGTTGGCTTGAGGAACTACGACCCGAAGAAGCCTCTCACCGTCGAGCTCCAGGTTTGTTTATACGGCCGTCTTGGACGTGTCAGTACGGTGGGTCGGTTGGCGTTACAAGCGGTGTGAGTGACTGCTACTTCAGACTCTCGCACAAGCACGAGCGCGCGCACACACACAACACCTCAGGCACACACAACTATACATGGTGGCATTATGCTCCACAGTATGCCATCATAATGCCGCTGCATTATAATGCTATTATGGTACACACCATTATATTATACGTCACCATGGTGGCGGAGATGGGGGTCCAATACGATGCTTTGAGAATTTCTTTGAGGATGGGATTGATTGTCGAGTTAATAATAGTTTATTACTCAGCACTTCTTCCTGAAGTGCTGAGTAATAAAGAGCTTTTAGTAACTATTTGGAATGTACCAATATGTAGTGATGGACCGCCAGTAAATCACGTTTTGTAGTATGTAATTTGTAGTTTTGTAGTTGTAATCACGTAAAGTTATGTCCGGGGGAGAGGAGAGTGTTATTAATTAATTAATTTTATACACTTAGGAAAAAATATAGCTGAAACCCAAACTTAAATATTCCAATGCTATATAGCACATATATGTACTATATTAGGCTTAAAACAGCGTATATTAGGCCTATGATTCTTAGGAGAGGTTAGATTAGATCTTATATTGATGATAATGTCAAAAGTTTCCAGTTTGTCTAATTTCCATAACACAAACATCCACTTTCTGGAGGTCCATAAGGGTACTTCCCACCAAATGTTACTATAAGAACACTTACTTTCTCTTAGCAAGCGGAGCTGTTGTAATTTGATACAATGTTGGAAGACTTTGTGAGGGTGTTTGTGGCAGATTATGTTCCTACCTTCACGGTGCACAGTGTGGCTCCATGGTGTCATTGTACTCCACCATGGTGGCATTGTACCCCCCACCTCAGTACCACCACAACATGGTGTCATTGTACCCCACCACCGTACCCCACCATAGTGTCATTGTACCCCCACCAGAGTACCCCATCATGGTGTCATTGTACTCAACCATGGTGGCATTGTACTCCACCATGGTGTCATTGTACTCCACCATGGTGGCATTGTACCCCCACCTCAGTACCACAACATAGTGTCATTGTGCCCCACCATTGTGTCATTGTACCCCCACCTCAGTACCCCACCATGGTGTCATTGTACTCCACCATGGTGGCATTGTACCCCCACCTCAGTACCACAACATAGTGTCATTATACCCCACCATGGTGTCATTGTACCCCACCATGGTGTCATTGTACCCCCACCTCAGTACCCCACCATGGTGTCATTGTACTCCACCATGATGTCATTGTACCCCCACCTCAGTACCCCACCATGGTGTCATTGTACTCCACCATGGTGTCATTGTACCCCCATCTCAGTACCCCACCATGGTATCATTGTACTCCACCATGGTGGCATTGTACCCCCACCTCAGTACCACAACATAGTGTCATTGTACCCCACCATGGTGTCATTGTACCCCCACCTCAGTACCCCACCATGGTGTCATTGTAACCCCACCTCAGTACCTCACTATGGCGTCATTGTTCCCCACCACCGTACACCATAATGGTGTCACTGTACCCCCACCACCGTACCACACCATGGTGTCATTGTACCCCACCACCGTACCCCAGTACACAGTACACAGTATGCTAGTGACATGCAACAAGTACGTGTTTGCACTGTTTGTAATGACCAACACCCAATTTTTTACACATTATCGTAATTTCACTGTTATCACTGTTAGCTGTGTATGTGTTACAACGACACTCTCACTGTTGTCACTGTAAGCTCTGAATGTGCTGGAAAGACACGAAGGTGCCAGAGAGCTATACACAGTGCTTCACTGCCCTCTGATACTAAGAATCTGGTGATATATCTTGAATTTTCTTATATTTGCTGGAAAACAATGAGGTTACTGTGAAGCGACTCATGCGAGCCCATTCCTGTGAGCCCACTCCTGTGAGCCCACTCCTGTGAGCCTACTCTTGTGAGCCCACTTCTGTGAGCCTACTCTTGTGAGCCCACTCCTGTGAGCCCACTCCTGTGAGCCTACTTTTGTGAGCCCACTCCTGTGAGCCCACTTCTGTGAGCCTACTCTTGTGAGCCCACTCCTGTGAGCCCACTCCTGTGAGCCTACTCCTGTGAGCCCACTCCTGTGAACCTACTCCTGTGAGCCCACTCCTGTGAGCCCACTCCTTAAAACACTTTTGTGTTAGACACATTATGACGAAGGCCATAGAAGAGACGAGTGTTATTCGTTATAATTAAAAGCACAGTGATATTTTCCCTACTTTTTGACAACACACAGATGAACTTGTAAGCTGAGAAGGCGGCTGCTGGGGCTCGAACCCAGTCTTCAAAGTGCATAATATTAACACTGACAATGTTAAGCTTGTCAGTGAACGCTGGGTGTCGACCAGTACTGTAGTATCGTAGTTAACCTGATGGAACGCTATCATACTGCCACATGTTTTCTCTTTAGTAATAAATTATGTATAAACTTGCTGCTCCCGGCCACGCGTTGCTGTGGCTCAGAGTCACAGCAACCCTCCTCAGTCCCCTTGTCCTTCCCCGTCCCCTCGTCCTCTCAATCATTCTCCACTCCCCCATCCCCTTGTTCTCCCCACCATTCCCTCCTCCCTCGTCCCTGGTCCTTCCCCACCATTCCCCACTCCCCAGTCCCCTCGTCCTCCCCCACTTCCCCTTCCCCTCGTTCTTCCCGCCATTTCCCCTCCCTGTCCTCTCATTTTCCCCACCATTCCCCACTCCCTCGTCCGATGTGTTCCCAAATGATCTGATGTTCCCTTCAGAAAAATGGGAACATCAAATGATCTGATGTTCCCATCACTGAAAAAAAGAACAGTTAAAAAAACGAGATGAAAAAAATGAAAAAATGATAAAAATTAACTATATTCATGAAATGAATGGTATGGTAAACAACACAGCTCAATTCCAACGTAATGCCACACAAAATAATTAAATCAAAAATAAAATAAATCAGAACCTATGAAAATTCAATTTATCAGGTGCAATCGGAAACATTGAAATGGAATCGTAACATATTTAGAATAGTGTGTGTTGCTATTACGTGCAACAGATGGCGCTGTTTAAAAAAAATGTTTTTTTCCTGTCACACGTGAGGCATGTATATAGTAGGTATATAAAAACACACGCCTATTTGAATGCAACGTTGTGTCAAAATTTCAAAGCAATCGGTGAAGAACTTTTGGAGATTAGCGATATGAACAAGCGAACATTTAAATTTTTATTTATATACTAGCTGTACCCGGCCATGCGTTGCTGTGGCTCAGCAACGCATGTGCTTGGCTGAGCAACAGCAACCTTCTCCTGTCTCCCAGTCCTCCCCACCATTCCCCCTCCGTCTGTGTGTCCTCCCCACCATCCCCCACCCCACCGTCCCCTTGTCTTCCTAAACATTCCCCACTCCACCATCCCTTTGTCCCCCCCCCACCATCTCCCACTCCCCTCGTCTTCCCCACCATCCCCCACTCTCGTGTCCACTTGTCCTCCCCACCATTTTCCATTCCCCTGTGCCCTCGTCCCCACCATCCCCAACTCCCTCATCTCCTCATCCTCCCCACTTTTACCCCTCCCCTCTCCCCTCGTCCTCCCCACCATTCCCTACTTCCGTCCCCTCGTCCTCCCCACCATTCCCTACTTCCGTCCCCTCGTCCTCCCCACCATTCCCTACTTCCTCATCTGATGCATTGCGAATTGGTCTGATGTTCCCATAAAAAAATTGGGAACATCAAATGATCTGATGTTCTCATCACTGAAATATTAGAAAAATAGTTAAAAAACAAAACGAAAAACAATGAAAAAAAGATAAACTATACTTACGAAATTGAACAGTATGGGTAAACAACACATCTCAATTCCAACACAATGTCACAAAAAATAATTAAATAAAAATGAAAATAAATTGAAATCTATTAAAATTCAGTTTATCAATGAAACTGGAAACATTGAAGTGGAATCATAACATATTTAGTATAGTATCTGTTGCTCTTATGTGCAACAGATGACACTGTTTTTCAAGAAAAGCATGTTTTACCTGTCACAGGTGTGGCATCTATACTTATACTATGAAGTGAATGGTATGGTAAACAACACAGCTCAATTCCAATGCAATGTCACACAAAATTATTCAATCAAAATGAAAATAAATCGAAATCAATGAAAATTCAATTTATCAATGCCATCGGAAACATTGAAATGGAATCATAACATATTTAATATAGCGTGTGTTGCTATTACGTGCAACAGATGGCGCTGTTTTAAAAAAAAGTCTGTTTTTACCTGTTACAGGTGTGGAATCTATATAGTAGGTATATAAAAACACGTGCATATTCGAATGAAACATTGTGTCAAAATTTCAAAGCAATCGGTGAAGAATTTTAGGAGATTACAGCGTGTGTGGCTCTTACGCCCAACAGATGGCGCTGTTATAAAAAACAAGTTTTTTCCTGTCACAGGTGAGTCATGTATATAGTAGGTATATAAAAACACACATACCTATTCGAATGCAACGTTGTGTCAAAATTTTAAAGCAATCAGTAAAGAGGCTTCAAAGATTTCCCCTCACATGAAAAAACATTTAAAAAATAAAGCGTTTCTCCCCGTTACAGACGTGACATCTATAAAATTTTATACGTATATAAAATACATATATTAAAATTTATACGTATATAACAATTTTATACGTATATAAAAACCCTATTGGATGCGAACGGAACGTTAAGTTAAAATTTCAAAGTAATCGGGGAAAACTTTCGGAGATGAGCGATTTTGAACAAACGAACATTTACATTTTTATTTATATAGATAAATAACAATCTCAACTTCAGTAATTTTAATTAAATTTAGCGGAACTTCCAAAATGTAGATTCTGTGGTATATGAAATATGTGCCTTACACCTGGGACCTTTGCACACCTTCCAACCTGTGTCCCCCCCTCCCTCTCCAGCTCGTTGCTACCATGAGGGGGCTTGGTGGGCGACTGCCAGAGTCTGATGCTCCTTGGGGCGGTCCCTTGTCCTTTTGTAGCCTTGTGTTCCTGCTGCTGTCTTCACAAATTTTGCTGGATGCCTTTTCCTTTTCCTTTTTCTCCCCACCCCCCTCTTCTCCTTTCTCGTTGTCATTTCATGCTGACCTTGTGCCTGTTTTGATCATTCTTTTGGTCTTCTTTTGTTTTGATGCCCGTGTGTTTGAGGAGGCATTCTCTTGCACCCGTAGAACTGTAGTACTCAACGTCTCGAGCGAGGGGAACCTTTTATTGTCAATCCCCCTTTCGTTACTGAACCCGATCTCGATGGACTGATGGTTCTTAAGGTGGCGTATACTCACGACGCCCCCTATGAATGTTTCTCTAGTACCCTCTCAGGCTCATGGGGTGGGTGACCAAGCTCCCGAATTGGACTGTATTGGAAGACCGGGGTCTGTAGTCCCCGCTGCATTGGGCCCCGACCTTGCTCCTCCTTTGACACTCCTGACTACTTCCCCTTGGCTCCCCTCCCTCCTCTGTGGTTGGGTCGAGCCATGAGCCCCCAGTGGTGGCCGCCTCGCCCCCTGGCACGGCTCAGTCTCTAGTTGTGACTACTGCACCTTTTAACCCCTCTCTCTTTGGGGGTTCTCAACGCCGTCCCCGACATGGCTGCACTCGCTCGATTCCTTCCTGTACTGATGCGTATCAAGCCTGGTTTGGTCCCGCTTCGTAGGCCAAATCCTTTGATCTCCCTCTTGATTCTGCGTCTCCTGACGATTTCTTCCTCCATAGGTACCTTGTTGATTCCATAGATGCCTCTGTTACTTTCCACCCCACCCGTCTTGGTTCACACGTCATTGCAGCTCCTTCTCAGGATGCAGCCTCCCGCTTGGCTGCCTTGTCCTGCCTTGGTGAGACCCCTGTTCAGGTCTCCAAGAACGCTCGGTTGAATGACAGTGTTGGCACTGTTCTCCTCCAACCCCAGGTTGCTACCGGTGTTCGAAATCTCTAGGACTGCCACAAAGATATTCGTCTTATCCTTGATGCCCAGGGCCATTCTGTCCTCCAGATAGACTCGTTTACTTGTCCCCCTCGTGGTTATCACCGTCAACCCCTTCGGGTTGTGAAGATTACCTCTGATGGTAGGACCCTTCCGCCCTCTGTCATTCTTGCTGGTGCCAGGTGCTCCGTTCAGGAGCATTCCCTCTCCTCGGCTCTGCAACAAGTGCTGGAGGTTTGGGCATGATGCCATCCGATGCTCTGGAACTGTCTCCCCCTGTCCTTTGTGTGGGGGCGAAGGTCACTCTAAGTCGGAGTGCACTTCTCCCCAGGATCGCTGCCCGTGCGTGTATACATTACAAGCTTGAGGCAGCCGTCCTCAACTTGAAGCACCGGGAGCGTTTGTCTCTTCCTGAGGCGAGGCGCCAAGTTCGCCGGCTCCCACCTTACGCTAACTTCCCTCATGCTCGCGTGTTGCGCTCTTCCTTTCCTCGTCCTTCTCAGACTCAAAACCGTTTCCAGGCCATGGACCCTGATATGCCCACCGCCCCCTTCCTCTGTTCCTTTGAGTTCTGTCCCGAAGGTTCCCCCACCTGGTCCTCTGTCTGGGGGTTCCCCTTCTTTCTGCCAGGTCTATCATGTCTCCTGTGTCTTCTTACTCGTCTCCCTCCAATCCTCCTTCCCATCCTTCTCCTCAATCTATTGACTCTCCCCGCCGCCTGTCGGTGCAGGCTGATGTCCATCGCTCTCCCAACGGCCGTCGTGTTCTGCCTTGTTAGTGTTCTGCCTTGTTAGTGTTCTGCTTTGATAGTGTTCTACCTTGTTAGTGTTCTGCCTTGTTAGTGTTCTGCTTTGTTAGTGTTCTGCTTTGTTAGTGTTGTTAGTGTTCTGCCTTGTTAGTGTTCTGCTTTGTTAGTGTTGTTAGTGTTCTACCTTGTTAGTGTCCTACCTTGTTAGTGTTCTACCTTGTTAGTGTCCTACCTTGTTAGTGTTCTGCCTTGTTAGTGTTCTGCTTTGTTAGTGTTCTGCTTTGTTAGTGTTCTGCTTTGTTAGTGTTCTGCTTTGTTAGTGTTCTGCCTTGTTAGTGTTCTGCTTTGTTAGTGTTCTGCTTTGTTAGTGTCCTACCTTGTTAGTGTTCTGCTTTGTTAGTGTTCTGCTTTGTTAGCGTTCTGCCTTGTTAGTGTCCTACCTTGTTAGTGTTCTGCCTTGTTAGTGTTCTGCTTTGTTAGTGTTCTGCTTTGTTAGTGTCCTACCTTGTTAGTGTTCTGCTTTGATAGTGTTCTGCTTTGTTAGCGTTCTGCTTTGTTAGCGTTCTGCCTTGTTAGTGTCCTACCTTGTTAGTGTTCTGCCTTGTTAGTGTTCTGCCTTGTTAGTGTCCTACCTTGTTAGTGTTCTGCCTTGTTAGTGTCCTACCTTGTTAGTGTTCTGCTTTGTTAGTGTTCTACCTTGTTAGTGTTCTGCCTTGTTAGTGTTCTGCCTTGTTAGTGTTCTGCTTTGTTAGTGTTCTGCTTTGTTAGTGTTCTGCCTTGTTAGTGTTCTGCCTTGTTAGTGTCCTACCTTGTTAGTGTTCTGCTTTGTTAGTGTTCTGCTTTGTTAGTATTCTGCCTTGTTAGTGTTCTACCTTGTTAGTGTTCTGCTTTGTTAGTGTTCTGCCTTGTTAGTGTTCTGCTTTGTTAGTGTTCTGCTTTGTTAGTGTTCTGCCTTGTTAGTGTTCTGCTTTGTTAGTGTTCTGCCTTGTTAGTGTTCTGCTTTGTTAGTATTCTGCCTTGTTAGTGTTCTACCTTGTTAGTGTTCTGCTTTGTTAGTGTTCTACCTTGTTAGTGTTCTGCTTTGTTAGTGTTCTGCCTTGTTAGTGTTCTGCTTTGTTAGTGTTCTGCTTTGTTAGTGTTCTGCCTTGTTAGTGTTCTGCTTTGTTAGTGTTCTGCTTTGTTAGTGTTCTGCCTTGTTAGTGTTCTGCTTTGTTAGCGTTCTGCCTTGTTAGTGTCCTACCTTGTTAGTGTTCTGCCTTGTTAGTGTTCTGCCATATTAGTGTTCTGCCTTGTTAGTGTCCTACCTTGTTAGTGTTCTGCCTTGTTAGTGTTCTGCCTTGTTAGTGTTCTGCCTTGTTAGTGTTCTGCCTTGTTAGTGTTCTGCCTTGTTAGTTTTCTGCCTTGTTAGTTTTCTGACTTGTTAGTGTCCTACCTTGTTAGTGTTCTGCCATATTAGTGTTCTGCCTTGTTAGTGTTCTGCCATATTAGTGTTCTGCCTTGTTAGTGTTCTGCCTTGTTAGTGTCCTACCTTGTTAGTGTTCTGCCTTGTTAGTGTTCTGCCATATTAGTGTTCTGCCTTGTTAGTGTTCTACCTTGTTAGTGTTCTGCCATATTAGTGTTCTGCCTTGTTAGTGTTCTACCTTGTTAGTGTTCTGCCTTGTTAGTGTTCTACCTTGTTAGTGTCCTACCTTGTTAGTGTTCTGCCTTGTTAGTGTTCTGCCTTGTTAGTGTTCTGCCATATTAGTGTTCTGCCTTGTTAGTGTCCTACCTTGTTAGTGTTCTGCCTTGTTAGTGTTCTGCCTTGTTAGTGTTCTACCTTGTTAGTGTTCTGCCTTGTTAGTGTTCTACCTTGTTAGTGTTCTGCCTTGTTAGTGTTCTACCTTGTTAGTGTCCTACCTTGTTAGTGTTCTGCCTTGTTAGTGTTCTGCCTTGTTAGTGTTCTGCCTTGTTAGTGTTCTGCCTTGTTAGTGTTCTACCTTGTTAGTGTTCTGCCTTGTTAGTGTTCTGCCTTGTTAGTGTTCTGCCTTGTTAGTGTTCTACCTTGTTAGTGTTCTGCCTTGTTAGTGTTCTGCCTTGTTAGTGTTCTGCCTTGTTAGTGTTCTGCCTTGTTAGTTTTCTGCCTTGTTAGTTTTCTGACTTGTTAGTGTCCTACCTTGTTAGTGTTCTGCCATATTAGTGTCCTACCTTGTTAGTGTTCTGCCATATTAGTGTTCTGCCTTGTTAGTGTTCTGCCATATTAGTGTTCTGCCTTGTTAGTGTTCTGCCATATTAGTGTTCTGCCTTGTTAGTGTTCTGCCATATTAGTGTCCTGCCTTGTTAGTGTGTGCCTCTTACTTGTTAGCATATGCCCTTATATGTTAGTGTTACGTTGATGTATGTCATTGGTAACGTATGCCCTTTCTTGTAAGTGTATGTCCTTGTTTATATTGTGTCTTATTATTGTCTTGTCGGCAACTTGTAATAATAGTTGTCTCGCTTGTAGGCCTCTACTTTGTACATTATAGTTATTAGTGCCTTAGAGCTCTGGCTGAGTAGGTTGTGGCGGGAGAAGTAGTGTGTTGTGGTTGTGGGCAGGTGTGCTGGTATGTAGCACATGACTCAGTAGTGGTGGCGGGTAGAGGTAACTACCCCCTGGTGCCTCGTAGTAACCTCTATTCTGGTAGTGGAAATTAGTGGGTAGTGGCGACTGCTCCGAGCACACATATAGCGCGGTAAGCGTGGCTGCGGCCTGTGTAACGCCCGTCTCCCTCCCTACCCCCTGGACAGCACGGCCTGGCGCGTCAGCAGATCATCCTCCCGACGGAGACCCTCGACAAGAACAAGAAGTATCACCTCACCTTCAGCATCAAGGTCTGTTTCTCCTCCTACCTTTTCAGTGAGGTATTTCTTGCCTTTGCAATTTATTTCTCTATATTTAATACCTGGCATGTTTTGCTGCATCCCATAAGGCAAATGTTATGATCATTTTATCTGCCTGTAATATTGCACGGTTGCATGTTAGTGTGTGGTAATATTCTCTGGCTTTTATATGCTGGGGACCCGAGGTGCTGTGCCTGACTGGGGTTCTGTTGCTCTTTCCAGCCTTCCACACCCGTGCCAGGGCAACAGCAGTCAACGAGAGAGAGCGTCACTGGGTCCCCGGAGCGTTCAGCCTCCGCCCCAGAGACACTCAACTCTGAGGGAACGGCTGAAGAGCCTCGCCAGGAGCTTCACTCAGCTCCGCCTGAGGGCAGGACTGAACCCTGAACCACCCCGAGGACGACACCAGGCCCATCACTCACCGAACCGCAGCTTGAAGCAGAGGAAGGACGCAACCTAATGGTTGAACCCCCTGAGGTCTAAACCCCTAATGGTTGAAATCTGAGGTCTGAGATACACCAATGAACCTCCAGATTCCCGCCAGGTGTTCGACTCGTAAAAGCTCGACTAAATTATCAGCAATAAGTCAGAGTCAATACCTGAACCTTCTCTAGAAAGGTCGAACTTACACCTTAATCAGACAAGGAAGCTTTTAATAAATCAGCATGAACTCGTGGGTTAACCAATTCACTTCATTCAATTTGACGAGGTGAATTTCGTGTAGTTCAGAAGACTATGCCTGGGATCGTAAACAAGAAGCGAGAAGTCACAGTAAATAAGTTCAATCGTTATTATCACAGGTTGCATATATTATTTCGTTTTATCAGGGACAGGAAGCCTGGTTTATATGAAAGGAATCTCTCTAAATGGGAGAAGATGTTGCGCTGAACATCTCCAAACAAACCAAACCAAATCACACAACAAACCCAAAGATCAAGTGTCATATTTGTCTATTTGTATTTTTTGACAAGTCCGTTTTCGAACTAAACAATTTAATCCAAACAAACTCATTAAAGAAAAAACGAAATATGAAAATTAGAAAAACCATTAATAAAATTCAAAACCAAACTTAACATAGCATGAGCTAGGCCTAACATAACCCAACCTAAGACTGTAATGTAAGTCTTGATAATGTTACATTTGAGCAAGTTACGTTAGCGTAGAGTTGGTGTTCATATTTTTCCCCATCCTGATTCTTCAAAGGTCGTAGAGCGACGGCCTCGCTTCATGCAGGTCGGCGTTCAATCCCCCGACTGTCCAAGTGGTTGGACACCATTCCTTTCCCCCGTCCCATCCTAAATCATTATCCTGACCCCTTCCAAGTGCTATATAGTCGTAATGGCTTGGCGCTTTCTCCTTCTTCCTTCTACAAAGGTGGCTGTTTCAGATTCCCAGTTTAATGTGTTACACATATTTATTTTATTACTATATTATTGAGCTCGAAATTTGACTTTTCAATATATACATACAGACACAGCACTGTCTTGGGGATGTGTTGTAGTTAAGAGTTAATAATCAACGACTCGAGACAACAAGTCAATGAGGTGAAGTCGCTGTCTTAATGACCAAGTCTTCGCACTCCGCACTTGGAGATCACACTCCCTGAAGACATCACACGCCCTGAAGACATCACACTCCCTGAAGACATCACACGCCCTGAAGACATCACACGCCCTGAAGACATCACACGCCCTGAAGACATCACACGCCCTGAAGACATCACACGCCCTGAAGACATCACACGCCCTGAAGACATCACACGCCCTGAAGACAAAACATCATATACTAAAGAAATTAGTATTGAAAGAGAGCGGGAGTTTGGTACCCATGTAACAGTCAATATCTGTGACACAACATGAGGCTGTAACAGTGCCTGTGGCACCATGTAACACAGCTAATATTTGTGACAGTGTTTTACATGTCAACGTAATTATACGAGTTTTATGTCATTTTTAACTTCTCACCTGTAAAAACATTTAACTTTATGTAATTATAAATTGAGTTTCAATGTGCTAACATGACTGACATTGCTACCACATGAAAATTTATTTCTATCGGTGTTTACGAATGTGTTGTATAAAAGCCTCAACGTGTAGCACACACACGGAGGTAATAACGCACTTAGTACTCTTGGTGTTTAAATAATTCATATTCAATATAATTAACTTTCGTTTTCATTTAATAAAATTTTTAATATAGACTTGAGGAGAGACATTCATGGGTGACCTGAGGCTACAACACACTCGCTCGGGTAACTGTGTATGTTGCTCCTTAGTGTTGTATATGTGGTGTCCTCGGGTACAGTCTTTGTACTGCCTTAGTCTTTATTGATGAGCAGATAACCATTGTTTGTTATCTTGATCCAAGTACCAGGGGTCTCTGTTGACAAGTGAACATCCTCTGTCAAAAAGATCTAAAAAGAAACAACGTACTTTGATACTGATATCTTCCTTACAGCAGACATATCAATGGATAAGATGGCGTTTCTAATGTATGAGTGTGAGAGGAGTCCCGTTAAGAGAGCACAATTGTGTAGTGTGTTTCAGATCACGGACTTCATGAGCAACAAGAGCTAAGGAAATCTCATGGCTCTCTATTATCGAATTTGTTACACTTATTTTTAGTTCCAGGCTCTTTATTTAAGAATACGTTTTTATCTTGTTTATTCACGAGTACATTTATATATCTCATTTATTTATTAATGTCATTTATTGTCACTGAAGAACTACGAACGTGAGATGTGTACATTCTAATCTTCGGGACTTTCGACTGGTCAACTTCTGACGGCTGCTCTGTGTATCTGACCAATACCGTCTACATCTGGCAACTGCTGTATACACCTGGCTATTGCTGTGGACTGCTGAACATAGCCTGCTGCTAGCTGCTATGTTCACCTAACTGCTGATGTGTGTACATCAGGCTGCTGCTGCTGCTATGTTCACCTAACTGCTGATGCGTGTACATCAGGCTGCTGCTGCTGCTGTGTACACATAAATAAAACTATGTACACCTGACTGCTACAACCCGAATTTCCTCTTCAAACTTCCTGACATCGATAAATTTGTAAAAAAAGAAATCAAAATCTCTTGTAACCGTTGAATTAATACCGCTGCTATCGTGAGTGTGTCAAAACCACTTGAAGTATTAAAGCCTTCGAATGTCTGGCTGCGACAAATTTCCAAGTCTCAGCAGTTTTTCTTAGTTATCCCTCTAAGATGCGTCGACAGAAAATGAGTGCAATATCTCATTTCGTACAATGGATGTTAACTCAGAAGCGTGTGAGATTTGTTCAGTACTTACATTCGTACGTTCCTAAGTGTAATGCAGATCGAGGTTCACATCCACACGAGGGTGTGGCTCGAAGTACGTCAAACTGACGTGTAGAAGCGATTTGGACAGACATGTGTTCATTCCATGTGTCCTTCCATAAGGATAAAGGGCATTTTTCAGGTGGTTGTTAGTGCTCTCTTTATAGGTAAAACTGGTTCCTTTTGGGTAGGAGGTTATTCCAAGACCGAAGAGTGTTCAGAAAGTAAGGAAGCTTCTTGGCGGGTGAGGACACTTCCCCATGGGTAAGGATGTTCTCCCCAAGGTGTAGGAATTGACCCTCTGGTTATGAAGGCTTTCACCCTTCACCCGTAGGTAATCTCTTCTTAATGTTTTTATGACTCATGTGAGTCTCATTATATATTAAACAGATATAAATATATATATATATATAAAGTTCTGATACAAAATGGTTTAATTTCCCTTAACATTGCTGTTGTAGTACATAAATACATATGAGACTAGTTCACACTAGATGAACTTTGCCCACTAAATAGAGTGGACCCACTCTAGAGTTTCGCTGGTGAAGGTGTCATGGTACTTTGCACGCCACGGGGCAACTGAGGCTCGAACCCTGGTCGGGTCACAGAGTTCTTAAGTGACATATAAGGACTATATACAACTTTATTATGGTGTGTAACCTAAGCCACTCCTGATGCTGGCTATCTAGAAAGTACATCTGCTATTATATTTAATTTACCAGCGACATGGATAGTGCTACAGAGCCTTCCCGGCCTGGTGCCTTCTTTTGATAATTATTTACTTACCAGCGACATGTATGATGATTAGGTTATACTCCTGCAGCAGCAATAACCAACTTAATATCCTCTGGTTCGAGTTTTTCAGGTGAGTAATAAAAGTGAGTGTTAGGGTCACTATGAACATGGACAGTATTGCCTGACACATAAACACCAAATGTATTCACCGCCAACAACAATGTTAGAGCTTCCTTCTCTTCTGTTCTATAATTTCTTTGACTGTGAATTACTCTGAATAGTAATGCATTGGGTGGTCAATACCATCATTTCCTTCCTGCATCAGGACAGCACCAAGTCCCGAGTCCGAAGCATCTATATACAGTTTAAATGGCTTGGCATACTCGGGGCTGCTAATACCGGGGCAGATGACATCATTCTTTTCACTTTAGTAAATCCATCCTAGCATTCCTGAGACCATTTAAACTTTACATTCATATATAGCAAATTTGTAAGGGAGCTGCAAAATTTCAACAGAACTTTCTATAATAAACACATATACATATATATTTTCGATTTTTTTTCTTTCTGGTCAAGGGAGCCGGTCGGCCGAGCGGACAACACCTTGGACTTGTGATCCTGTCGTCCCGGGTCCGATCCCGGACGCCGGCGAGAAACAATGGGCAGAGTTTCTTTCACCCTATGCCCCTGTAATCTAGCAGTAAAATAGGTACCTGGGTGTTAGTCAGCTGTCGCGGGCTGCTTCCTGGGGGTGGAGGCCTGGTCGCGGACCGGGCCGCGAGGACACTAAAGCCCCGAAATTATCTCAAGATAACCTCAAGATGGTAGTTTACAATATCCTTTATTTTATCCATGAGTGGTAGGACCTTTCAATTTACTACTTCATAACTTAAATAACATAATAGTTGCTTTGGCAAATGTACACTTTTTGCAAATATACGGTCAGATTGGCGTCCTTTAAACATTTCAATGGTTTCGTTAACTGCTTTAGGTTGTCTTCTAAATTATTATGTTACAATATCGTCCAAGTACGAAATGTGGTATCAACACTATGTTGATGAGAGGATCAAAAGTAGCTGGAACATTATTTAAACAAAAAGGCCTGACTAAGAAATCGAACAATCCATCTAGAGCTACAAATCAAATATTTTCTGCAATCTTGGGGTTAGGGTAATTTGCAAACATCCTTCGGACAAATCTGGTTTTGTTACATATTTGACCAACACTGTCTATGAAGTCTTCTAAATACGAGAAGGGAAAATGATCATCAAGAGTTATTACATTTAGTCTGGGGTAATGTTCACACACCCGGTGAGTTCCATCGGGCTTTGGCATTAAGATACAAGACCGCCACTACTTGGTCTTACCAGTCCATGTTGGAGCATGAAGCCAACTTTCTTTTGGGATTTTGACCAACTTTGTTGTGTTGACTCGATACTGGTATGACCTGAGAGGTTGGCTGGTTCAACAATCAACAATCTCCCACAATCGAGAACTCCGGGTTCAAATCCCGGGTGGGTCTGAAATGGTTGGGAGCGTTTCCAATCACCTAATGCTCCTGTCCACCTAGCAGTAAATAGATACCCTAGGAGTTAGTCAGCTTGTTGTGGTGTTGCATCCTGGAGAAGGCCAGTAATTCAACCCTGGGGAAGGGGACCTCGATATAAGCCTATATATACTATATGTATAAATTGGCTTTCTGTTCCCCGACACAATGAATTATAATTATTAGACAGGTTAGTAAAGTCAATATCCCCACTACCTTCGTGCACACGCCTTACACTAAGCGCCTTGGTGATACTGATGTCTCTTTTTCTAAAATATTTTCAGCCTATTAACATGCACAACATGGTTTCTTTCTCTTAAGTTCAGGTGTTTTACTTACATGGCGGGACTCTGCTTCTTTACCAGCAGGTGTGGACCGCTGAGCCTGTGTTGATGAGGGAGGTGGTCGCCCCCTGAGTGAGGGAGGTGGTCGCCCCCTGAGTGAGGGAGGTGGTCGCCCCCTGAGTGAGGGAGGTGGTCGCCCCCTGAGTGAGGGAGGTGGTCGCCCCCTGAGTGAGGGAGGTGGTCGCCCCCTGAGTGAGGGAGGTGGTCGCCCCCTGAGTGAGGGAGGTGGTCGCCCCCTGAGTGAGGGAGGTGGTCGCCCCCTGAGTGAGGGAGGTGGTCGCCCCCTGAGTGAGGGAGGTGGTCGCCCCTGAGTGAGGGAGGTGGTCGCCCCCTGAGTGAGGGAGGTGGTCGCCCCCTGAGTGAGGGAGGTGGTCGCCCCCTGAGTGAGGGAGGTGGTCGCCCCCTGAGTGAGGGAGGTGGTCGCCCCTTGAGTGAGGGAGGTGGTCGCCCCCTGAGTGAGGGAGGTGGTCGCCCCCTGAGTGAGGGAGGTGGTCGCCCCCTGAGTGAGGGAGGTGGTCGCCCCCTGAGTGAGGGAGGTGGTCGCCCCCTGAGTGAGGGAGGTGGTCGCCCCCTGAGTGAGGGAGGTGGTCGCCCCCTGAGTGAGGGAGGTGGTCGCCACACTATGAATATCTAAAACATTATTCTGAAATGCTATTCTGTAACGTAATTGAGAGTGACTGCTCGGAGTGGAAGTTTTACATTGAGTCATTTTATATGGAAATTTGACACTAATGTAAAACAGAGATTTTTCACATTTTCCAAACTGACCGACAGTGTTGTGTGGAAGTAATAAAGTTCACCTCCATAGTTGTGTTGTGTTCATTAACGTGTTCACAGCCATAGTTGTGTTGTGTTCACCACAATAAAAGTGGTCCCTTGTGGAAGTTGTGTGATGGATTAAGATCTAGATCCCAATGATCTTTAAGCTGAAATAACTAAAATGAGTTAATTGGAATCTGTTTTCACGTGCCTTTCAGCCTTTCAGCATACCTGTTAACACTTCCGTACCTGCAAACAACGGTGAGTCTGACATCATCATCAGGTGGGAATGCGGAGTAATTGTGTAAATGTATTCAGTGTTTTCACAAGTATTTCAAACAGCCGGTCAGTTCCCTCAGTGGACGAGGGAACGCACTCTCTTGGCCCCAGGGGGGGGGAGGGGGGAGAGAAGATGTTGCGGTAGGGAGGAATAAAACCAGAGATATTGTCAAAGGTAAAGTTGAGGGGATGGTAAAGGGGGATTCTTTAGTGTAAAGCTTCTGGGCGAAGATAATAGGTTGCAGTAAAACCTCTCGTTATAGAGCTCTCAGGTTGAAGAGAGATAAGGAAATTGCCTTAAGGTAAGGAAATTGAAATAAGCTAACTAAGGTGCTAATGAGGAATCTATCATTCAGAACAGATTCTTTGAGACTGTGTTTCCTTAATACGACGCCATCACAGCCAGGACATGGTCGTTATAACAAGGTTGATGGGGTGTAGAACGGACCTTTAAAGACCTCTCAAGCAGAGTAGCGTGACACGATGAGTGGCGCTGTCCAATAAACTCGCCCCTCGGGGCAAAATTAAAAAAAATGATAATGTTTAAGTCAGTGTCAGTGTGGTCGTGTTTATGGATCTTGACCTCCTCATTAGATAAGAAGGAACTTATTAAGACAGAGACACAACACAGATGGGACAACGCTGGCCTGAATGACAGATGGTGCGGGATGAGGATGGGTTAGTCTGGGACAGATGGGACAAGGGTGAACCTGTGTGGAACAGATGGGACACATTCGGAACAAATGAAGACCTCGAGGTAGCTCTTTCACTCTGTCGTTTGATGGAGGGATTAGTGCTGGTGGGAGGCATTAAAGGCAGGTCCTCGTCCCTGCGACCCCTCCTCCTGGCCCCGTCCCCTTGCCCACCTATACTCCTAGCCTAATCCCTCCCTTGTATCCCCCTCATACCCCTTGTCCCACTGGCGTAGCGCCCTGAGAGCGAGGCAAGATACCATCGCCGGGCCATTGACGAGCCCGCCCGTGGACGCGGAAATTGTCCGCCTCTCTTCAATTGCTTGTCCGAGGCAGTGGCGAGTAGGAAAATATTTTTATTTCTAGGCATACGGGCGACATTTCCGTGTTATGAAAGCAGAATATGGTCCTCTGTGACATGGGAGAAGAGTATGAGCTGGTCGAAGGACACAATGGCGGCAGCTTTGATGAGAGAGATAGTGAGGTTCTTGATGACAGGACGGCAGTGATAGGGGGAAGCAAAAGGATTTAGATTAATCTAGAGTGAAAAAAATAGTTTGCCGTGTTTCCCATGATGGCGGGAGAGAGCGCGGAGGCTGCCGATGTTATCTAGTGCTGCAGGAGCTGCGAGGGGAGACGAGCCTTGATTACTCATCAGGCAACTCTTACATTTTCACAGTAACACGTATTCGCGAATAAGTATATTGCGTTTTGAAGTCGAAATCCCCAACGGACAAAATATGATGTACTATAGATCATAGCGGCTCACAAACATTTACGTTTTCCATGCGTGGATTGCTGGGTTAAGTTAGCTTGAGTAAGGTCAGGTTCGCCTGATTTAGTACACCATTTTCTCTCCGTTGTGGCACCTGGAGAGGAGTATAGTGTATATGGGGGGAACTATTACAGTTTCTTGGGCTGTCGCTCAACAATAAGCGGGATGTGCTCACGTAGGTCAGTACACGTTGCAAAATGGCGGTACAATCTACTGGTTACTTGATTTTCTTAATGAAAATCATGATATTCAACTGTTATCTGTG